CTCGGTATCTTTTTTGTTGTTGTTAAATTCTTTTATTGGTACATTTTAGGTATATAACACAATTACATTTCTCATTGGGAATTGTACCTTTACATGATGCATCTTGGTTCTTATTTTTTCCCCATTCCTAGCCCTCCCTTCACCCCCTCCACCCGACCTTGACAGTTTTGAGGAGAGCTGGACAGGTGTTTCTGTAGAACTCCACTTCATTTGGGTTTATCTGGTGTTTTTCTCTATGGGCTTGGGGAAAGAAGACCCCAAACTGTCTGTCATCTCAGCATAGCAAGGAGACAGAGACATACTATTAAAGGATCAGATGTTTCTCTCCCCAAAATATCATGTGTTAAGGACCAGGGATTTCCTAAGTTCAATCCCTGGTACCAAAAAACCCCCAAACCAAAAAACCCCAAAAATATCATGCATTGAAACCTAATCCCCAACATGATGATGTTAGGAGATGAGACCTGTGGAAAGTGATCAGGTTATGAGGGTAGAGCCCTTGCTATAGTATTAGTGCCCTTATAAGAAGGAATGTGAGAGAGGGGGTTCCCTGTTTCTACTCTCCTCCATTTGAGTCTTCTGTGGGAAATCAACAGCCTGTATCCTGGAAGAGGGCCCTCCCCCAACCCTGACCATGCTGGCATCTTGATCTTAGATCTAGAAAGCCTCCAAGACTGAGAAAAATAAATGTCTGTTGTTTGATCCACCCAGTCTATGGTAATTTGTCATAGTAGCATGCACTAAGACACATACGTTCAATGACTTATTGCCGAAAATGTGAGCCTTGGTCACCTGGCTGATGGAGTGTTTGTCAGGTTTCTTTGTGTAATTCACTCCCTGCCTCCTTCCATTACTCTACTGTTCGGAAGCAAATCACTCAGCACAGCCCACACCCAAGAGGTAGGGAGTCATGCTTCCCAGCTACTCCACAGGATATTGTTTAGAATTCTTCTGGATAGGAAGTGTGTCTTCTCCCTACAATCAGGGATTTTTCATTTTGACCCCAATCCGGCAACACTGCAAAAACTGGCCAGTGTGTTGCAACAGTCTGAGTTACTTCATGTTTCTACTTGGCTTTTGGGGACTTGTCAATAAATTTTCCCTCCTGGGAATGCTCACATGAACCAGATAAAAGAGAGGAGTTGGGCCACTGACTGATCTATGGGCCAAATCCATTTATGTGACAAATATTTACTGTGCATCTACTATGTACCAGGCACTGTGCTAGGGGATTACAGAGTGCTAAGAACATTCTTACTGCTATGGAATTTATTATTATTGGGTTCAATTTCTGGACATTTATTCTATGATGTATCTGTACATATACAAAATGGCATAGGGATAAGGCTCCTTTTTTAATAAAACAAAAGTTTAGAAATGGCTTAAGGACCCATCAGTAGGATTGGTTAAATAAACTGATCTATCCTCACCAGCAGCGCCTGTGCACCCTTAAATATGAATGAGGATGTTCTGTTCTACGTACATAAGTTTGGGATATTGTGTAGCTGTTTTAAGTTTTGTGAAAGCAATGCAGAACTTTGCATGCTAATATGATAACATTTATTGGAATTTTCCAGGGATAAAAGCAAAGTGTATTGGCACTACTGGTCACTGCCTGACTCCCTGTGGCCCAGTGTGACACCTGTGTTTTTAGTTTGCTTTGTTTCTTAAAGAACCCTTTCTGGGTTTTTTTGGTACTGGGTATTGAACTCTGGACCTTGCACTTGCAAGGCAGGTGGCAGAACCACTGAGCTAAATCCCCAGCCCTGGTTTGCTTTGTTTCTTCTCCTGCCTTCTTCGTGCTCTTAGACACCCTGATTCCCCTCCTTGCTCCTCCCCTTGGTCCTATACCCATCAGTATTCTCCTTTCCTTGTCTCAGGTTTGCAGCTGACTCTGACCTTGCTGCTTACGTTGCTGGGACTCTTCTGAGCTGCCCTCATTTGCAGTACCATACTGACCATCCTGGTATGCTGGTGCCCCCTCTCCTAACAGCCTCCCAGGATCCTTCAAAAGAAGAAATGCAGGTCTGGGGACTGAGTGGGTTCTGAGCCCTTGAATCTCATCAGAAACATCATGGATTCCATTTTCCAGGCTGTTCCTGTGCCTCAGACCATCAGGCCATCACCATGGCGGTGGTGATGGAGAGTGAAGACTTCCCCAGCTGTGGGCTGTCTACCACTTCTCCTATGGTTATTTGCTACCAAAGCCCAGGACCCGGGCTTCAGTCGGGAAAGGAGGTTGGGAGGTGAGAGGGTTCTGTTGAAGGGGTAGACTGTGCTTAGGTGTGGACCATGAAAGCATAGTGTTGTTGGAAGTCTTGAGCTGGTCATAAAGGGCAGTGCAGCAGGAGCAGAGGGGAGGAGCACATCATAGCCAAGAGGATGCTCTCTAAGGTGATGTTGTTTCCTGTGAGGATGAGATCTACAGAGTCCAAAGACTGTGGTCTCTCCATGGTTCTTTGATTGCCTAGCATTCTGGTTACTGGCATCAGAACTCCCTGTGCCAAGGCCAGTCCTCCCACACAGGTTGGATCTGTCCAGGATGCTTAGGTGCCTACCTGGACTTTAGGGTGTTGGCTTACTAGGGCATTCGAGGGCCAGCAGTGCTGTCCTGATCTATTCCAGCAGGATGTGATGAATCTGTTAAGTTGATGCTGCAACAAGGTGGTTATGTTTAGAGTCATGGGTAGAACTGGCTGACGCACACTCTGCATGGTGCTGGGAGTTTCCCAGGGGTGAGGCTCTGGTCACTATGGTGGTGACTGACTTGCTCCTCACCAGGTCCATGCTGTCTTCTCTTCTCTAGTTCACTGCCCACACCCATTGGACTTCCTGGGGTCTTCCAAATAGACTACTCCAACTCTTGTCTTTGTCTCAAGGTCTGCTTTTGGGGAGCCCAAAATAAAACTGGTGATCATTGTATCAGCCATTCACTAGGACCTGGTTTATTCCCTGCACACACACAGAATCTTGGCATGAACCTTTTAGGTCTCTCATCACCCTGCCTGGGAATGAGCTATTCCCAGCTACATTCTCTGAGGCTTAGAGATGCTTGACCAGCGGCCCAAAGCAGATAAGGTGGAATCAAGTCTGGCTCTTGTCACCATACCTGAGGCAGTGCTCTTAACAGCAAGGACTGGAGTGGGGTCTATACTGCCTCTGCTTCTCCTCTTCCGGAGTAAGCACTCCCTTCCAATTAACCCTGAGTCCTCACTATAGCTAAATAAAGCCATTGACCTGTACTACCTGACAGAATCACTACAACAGCCCTAGGATGTGGCTACAATCACCATCATCCTTCTTTGATAGACAAGGTTCTTGAGGGGGAAGTGGCCTGCCTAAGGCCACATGGCTAGTACTGGAGGGAGCCTGAGCCCTTCCCCCTCTACCAAAAGGATGGAGGATGGTGGTGGACAAGTGAATAGAAGAGGAGAGAGACAGTGAGCTCACAGCTTACCCTGCCACCAACTGGGTGACAACATAGTCTCATCTTGGACCCCATCTCCACCACACACAGGGTTAATGGGTCTATACCCTGTGAATGATCTGCTAGCAGCAGCTTTATCCATCTGCTCATTAACGCAATAAAAAAAATAATCAACAGAGCCTTCTGACTCCCAGCCCCTGGGGGCTGATAGAGTTCTCTGCTAGAAAAAATGCCTCTGGCAGCTCTACCTCCTAAATGCCTCTTCCTGGCAGATAATAAATCACCCAGGGAAACAACCTAACTTTCCCTCCTCAAAGCTCTCCCGCTTATAGTCCTTCCCACCGAGAAGTTCAAACTTGCCAATGTTTTTAAACCTTACCCTGGCTGCAGCCAAACATCTACCTCCACTATGTCCCTCCCCCGTTATGCCCCTTGCCCATGTAAGAGGTCACTTAGCCAGCCCCTGGCCACTGCTCTCACCATTGTTCGAGACAGCCAGGCACCCCATTCCCTAATAAAGGCCTAGTCTCGGGTGTTCATGTTTTCGACTCACTCTCATCCTCTCAGGGGCCTAACTACATAACTTGAAAATGACTCTTTATTAAGTCTGATCAAATGTTCATTGTTCAGTAATTAGAAATCATAGCCTTTCTTTCTAGCCATGGGGCTCAAAAGCAACAGTTGGATAAGCTTTTTATTTGGGTCAGACCAAAATCCTTCTTGGATCCATTTCCAAATAACTGACACCAGCTTCAATGCTTTCATGAGGAAAGAGCAGGAGACTGTTTTGCATTTGGCTCCTAAGTCTGCAGCAAGTAAAATGTGATGAAGTGAGCAGATGTCAAAGCAGGCCTCTGATCTGAGACAGGACTATGGACATCGGCACCCGGGGTTAAAGCTGAGTAGTGTGCAGAGTTCCCATAGCAGTGGCTGACAACAGAAGAGAAGTGTGATCAAGGTCCAGCCCTGAAGACCACAGTTGGATCGGACCAGCCAAAGACCCTCAAAGCCCAAAGAAGGGGAGCTCTAAGGAGGTTCAGCTAGCACACCAGTGATTCCTTCACCAAGTCATTCCACAAATATTTATTGAGGACCTACTAAGTGCTAGCACTTGGCTAGACATGGAGATCAGATAGTGAATAAAAACTACAGGTCAGCTGGGGGAGGTGGTCCATGCTGAAGTAGAGTGTAAAGTGTAAGGTCTGGGGTCTGAGAGAGCTGGGTGCACCTGGTAAAGAGGAGTGTGGAGCAGAAGCCAGGCAGATCTTGCCCCCAGAGCTGTCCTTCGAGAATGTCCAGAGATGAGCAGTACATCTGGAATGTACAGATCAGCTGTGGCCTCTAAGACCCCTCTTTCTTCTTTCCCTCAAACTCTCATGTACTGGATGTTGGCACCCAAGAACAGGAAGTCCTAGGAAAAACAAGACAATTCAGGATTCTACTTCAGAAAGATGCTCCTGGGATGGAAAGGGAGGCTGTGTCCTGGTAAATGCAAGCTCTGCCAGAAACCAGGTCAGTGCATAAATCGCCATTGTGCCCATTCCCAAGGTCTCCCTAAAGCACAGCTCATGCCAGCTACCTTCTCCGAGACGGCAATCTGTCACTGCCCAAGCTGAGGCTTTCTAGCAGGCCTCATAAATGTTCTTTGTGTCACCTGAGTTTTTTTCTCCTTGGTGAAGAACACAAAATTGTGAGCTACTGGGTTTACTCTCCCACACTTAAGCTTCCATCACGCAGAGGGGCAGGAACTTGGAACTCTGGAAAAGTCCAGTTCTTTCTACAGCAACTGATCCAACCCTTGCCTTTGGTGATCAGACAGATGGATGGAGTTGACCTTAAAATTCTAATGAATGTGACAATATGTAATAAATCTAATCGCTTCCTACATGCCAAACGTTGAGCTACAAGCTTTCATTATTGGCCTCTTGCCTTCACCAAAACCCAGGAAAGTTTGGGCTTCACTCCATTTTACAAAGGAGAAAACTGAGCCAACTGTGTGAATTGTCACTCAATCTTTGCTTTGAATAATGCTTTGTCTGACTCCACTTGTAAGCACTCAACAGTAGCTGACTCTTAAGTATCCTGAGGCCCCACAGAGCATCAAACACTTGTTTTTCAAACATAATAGGGGTTACTGGTTAATTAAGACCCAGTCTTGGTCTGCCTTTGTTCCTTCTGCAGGAATGTCTTGTCCCTCTTTTTATGAGCTTTGCTTGCATTAACTGCTGTTGTCAGATGCCTCACACACTGTCGCCAGATATTTCGCATACACCTTGCCCTATTTCTTTTCATGCTTGTGTGTTCAATAAATTCTGGAGGTCTTGTGCCTGGTACCTTTTGCTGCCAACTCAGCTCACACTTCCCAGATCCCCATTTTCTGTTTAAGTCTTATTTCAGTGTCTTTCTTTTGCCTTGCTTCATATTGCCGGCTCAAGGCCAGGGTCCCCAATACAGACATGTATTCCCTTTAACAGCTATGATTTCCTGGGTATTGGCCAGGCACAGTGCAGCATGTGCTGTGATGCTCACACCTCTGTGGCCCAGTCATCTCACCTGGAAGATGCTGCTCAGGAAAGCTAAGCTGAAAGTGGGGGCACAGATGGACCACAGAGCACTTGGTCAGAAGGTGGTTAGGATAGTGAAGAATCAGGCACATTTCTTGGTGTCAAAATACTTAAGTCAGTTGTGGTCCACAGCTATTTATTGTTGGGAAGTGGAAACTAGGTCACACAAGTGAACAAACCAAGGATGATGCTTACGTGTGTGTGTGTGTGTGTGTGTGTTTGTGTAGGGGAAACAGCACAAGCAATGGAAGTGTTCAAAAACCAAACCAAAACAAAACAAAAAAATTAAGAAAAGCTTAGGGAGAAAAAAGACTGGAAAGAAGGACCTCAAAATGCAAATTGTACTTAATTTTCAAAAGTGTGTAGGGGTCATAGTACCTGTTTAAAATGAGGGGTGATAAACACATAATATAGCTCTTCCACTTCATAATTGCTAGGGACCACAATATTGATTATGCCCAAAGCATGCTGTAAACAGTGCAGGCTGTAGGAGTTAAATCCTACATTTGGTTTATTTTAAGAAGTGAATCTGACTGATGTTTCGTGACTCACGGAAGTACCTCATGAGCACCACAGTGACGTGCAGGTTAGCATGACCGTCCTGCTATCAGCCATAGCCAAGACCAGAGAAATGGCCTATGATGCTATGGGGCTCAATCTGAGATAACAGAGTAGCTGAGGTCAGAGTAGCTCGCACCCAAATTCCATTCCCACATTCCAGTTAAAACCTTCTTACTAGAAGGACAATATTCTAATTATGACCATATATTTTATCTATTATGTTCCTAATTTGAGGGTGCTTTGTTTTTTTCTTTTGCAAGCCTTGCTTGCATTAGTTTCCATAGAAACTGCATGAATGTGCATCTTCACATTTAGTCCTGCCCTTGCACATAGCTTGCTTTACCCCAATTTGATTACTAATAAAAATGAATGGCTCAGATTGACCAATGCCTTTGCTAATTAAGCAGCACTGGCTGTCCTAGCTCCCCAGTTTATCCGTCTCTTTCAGTTTTGTCTTTTAGGTTTTTTTCCTCCAGCCTTGCATCATACACTGAGCAGGAGACTGGAACCTACTGCAGAGGTTTCCAGTACATAATTAAGATATAATTATTAAAACTTAACAATGTCAGGCTGGGGATTTAGCTCAGTGGTGCCGCCGCCTGCCTGGCAAGCACAAGGTCCCGAGTCCAATCCTCAGTACCAAAAACAAAAACAAAAACAAAAACTTAACAATCGCTTTCAGAACCTAACCTGTTGGCAAGTTAGGACCTATTCTGAAAATGAGCTGGTCTTGTGGTCTCCACAGGTCCCCTGTGGTGGGGATCCAGCACTTCACCAAATTCCTCCTGTCCCAGTAGAGGTGCCACTTCCACAGGACGTGATGGCTTGGTAGGTATTGCAACTCCTGGAGCAGGCTGCCATGTCCAGCCGCCACAGCTGCAGCTGTCCTAGGTCCTACCCATTGAGTTACAGCCTCCAAACCTGGCAGACTAACCTACTCCCAACCCTCAAATGCTCCAAGCTCCCCAAACCCACTGACCTTGTGGATCTGAAGAACAAGGTCATAGAGCTGAATATGCTTTAGCAGAGGGAGGGGGAAGCCTTGGGCCAGTTTCTCTGCAGGTAGACAACATTGAGAGAGATGTGTTAATAAACAATTATAGACAAATTTTTACCAAAGAATTTTGGTCTTTGCAAACTCTATACACAGCATATTCCCACTAAAGACTATGATTATTATTACATTTTTTGGATTAGGAAACTGAAGCACATAGTGGTCAAGTAACTTGTCCTGGATCACACAGCTAGAATGTGGCAGAACTGGGATTTGAGCCTAGGAAGGCTGGCAAGGGAGTCTAAGCCATGAGCCATGGTGCCCTACAGAGGAAATAGCAGACATGGTGCAGGACACACATGGTGAGGAACAAGTGGGTTCTGTTCTCTGCCCTCTGCCCCACATTGTTTTTTGTTGAAGCAAAATAAAGCAGCACATCCTGGAAACAGGGTTTGGGGCTTCATGCTTATTTTGTGCCTAAGTAGTCAGGCAGTTGACTGGGAAATGTGAATTCACGGTGGCTTCCCTGTGCTCTCAGTAGTAACCCCGTCCTCAGTCTTTCCCCTGAGCTTCAGGGTGTGAGGGGCACTTGTACGATTCTCTCTTTTCCCTTATGAGGAGGTCACTGTGCCCCAAACACTATCTCAGCTTCCTGACCCACTAGAGCCCCAGAGGACCAAGATGTCAACTTTAGGATCTCATCTCATGGAGAGGCCACTGGAGCTCAGAGCTGTGTGCCCAAGGCCACAGAGCCATCAAAAGAGACCTGGTTCCCGACTCTAAGTCAAACTCTCTTTTTCCCATACAGCAGCATCCACTTTTGACTTGCAAAATCCACGGTGATTCTTACCATTGATCTCCGGGTAGAGAGTGTTGAGCATGAAGTAATTGAGGAAGCCTGCCAGCAGCTCCACCTGGTGGAGAACAAGAGAGGTACACTGTGACCATGCAGACCACCTTGCCCACCTGGTGGCACAGCCGCACAACCACCTGGGGAGAGTGGTTCTGTCCCCGCTGGCTTAGCAAAGTCTTGAAAAGAGCAGATTGCAGATAGATACCGATATCTTGCTATTATTTATAAATTAAAAGTAATTTAAGGTGCACATTAATATGTATGCAAATGAATAGAATGTTTTGGAAAGTCTACATGCCCAATTGTTTTCCTTTAGGAAGAACATCAAGGTTAAACGTAGCCTTTAGCCTTATCTTTAGCATTTAATTTTTTTAAACAGTGAGATGTTTTTCTGATTACCTGTGTAATTTTTAAAAAGTTAAATGAACAAAATGAGCATCTCTACAAAAACTGTGAAACACAACTTTTAAAGCCCACTATATGCCAGGCAAAGGACTCAGAGTGTTTTCTTTCTTTCTTTCTTTTCTCTTTCTTTCTTTCTTTTCTTTTTCTTTCTTTCTTTCTTTCTTTCTTTCTTTCTTTCTTTCTTTCTTTCTCTCTCTCTTTCTTTCTTCTCTCTCTCTCTCTCTCTCTCTCTCTCTCTCTCTCTCTCTCTCTCTCTCTCTCTTTCTTTCTTCATTCTTTCTTTCTTTCTGTTCTGGAAATTGAACCCAGGATTTTGTGTGTGCTGGGCAAGCACACTAGCACTGAGCTACATCCCCAGCCCTTTTCAAAATTTTTGTTTTGAGGCAGGGTCTTGCTATATAGCCCCTGGCTAGCCTTGAACTTTCAATCTTCCTGTCTCAGCCTGCCTAGTAGCTGAGACTATAGGTGGGTGCCACCACACCTGGCTATGGAGTTCATATTAATGTCCTCCTTACACAATGGAAACTGAGGCCCACAGAATAAAAGTGACTTAGAAGCTGGATACCAGGGTCAGGATTTGAATCTGATATTTTCTGAGTTGACAGCTGCTGTTTTTCCCATTTCCTATGGATAACTTTGTAAATCTAGCTGTGATTGTTTCATTTGACAGGACATTTTTACATGACATGCCCAGATATGATATTAGGGTGTCATTATTCACCTCACTGCAAGGTGTTATTCTTGGGGACCTGTGGGTGATGTCCCTCCACACTGAAGGTGTGAGGAAGCACTCAGAGGAGGACATCATTATGAATGGTGAAGGGGAAGACAATGACCACCAAAATCCATTATCTTTTCCTGGGCGGAGCAGCTCCCATCACCCCACCTTCCCCCTTGCCAGAAAGGTCTTCACCGGTCACCCTGATCTTCCCATTTTTTTCCTCCTTTCATAGGGAGCCATGAACTTCACCACTTTTCCCTCCTTGTGGGAATCACTCCATGGTTTTGCCTCTTGTTTCAGTTACACAGACCCTCAGGGCCAGGGATTTAGCTCAGCAGCATGGCGCCTGTCTCAAAAGTGCAAGGTTGTGAGTTTGATCCCCAGTACAAAAAAAAAAGAAGGGCAAAGTATCTGAGCACTGTTTCCTTCACTCAAAATAACACAGAGCCTCTCTCCCCTGGAACCCTCCTTTCCAACCTTAGAGCCTGTGTTTTGAGTAGCTGACTCCAAATCCTGGCTCCACAAGTGTAAATGAGATGCATGGTTGGTTAGTGGTCTTATTCAACTTCCCGTCACAGTTTGTGACTTAAGAATGGGCACCTAGCAGGGTGTGGTGGCACATGCCTGTAATGCCAGCACTCTGGGGATCTGAGGCAGAGGAACTGCAAGTTCAAGCCCAGCCTGGGAAATTTGAATGACCCTGTCTCAAAAGGAAAAAAGGGCTGGGGATGCAGCTCAGGATCAAGGCCCTGGGATCAATTCAGTTCCCAGTACTGCAATAAACAAACAAACAAACAGGTACCCAACCGAGAGTGAGAGCTAGCACAGGGAATTTTTTCGTTTTGCACTTTTTTCTTCAAAAAGCGAAACTGCAAGAAACTCTGGGGTTTGCCACAGAGCCTTCCCGAGGATGAAGGATGAAGCCAAAACACATGAAGGTGAAATGGAGAGAGATTCTGGGTATACTAATTTGAGCACCTGGATCTAGCTATGCTTGAAATTTTTAACCTTAGCTTTTTTCTGTGGTTTTTTAGTTATATGACTCTATGAATTCTTCCTCTGTGCTTAAGGCAATTGCGTTGGCTGTCTTTTCTTGCAGTTAAAAGAATTATGGGTAATAGACAAGTTACTCATATATTAATTTATGTTGGGATATAACTATTCTAGGCCCTATTTCCTGTGTCCTTGAGCAGTTCTATACTTCCTTGGGGCAGAGATGAGATCTGCTCTTTTCTTTCTTTTTCTATTTCCTATTATTGCCAGAGCCATTGCTTAGGAAATACTCTAAATTAATTAGTATCTTAATCACATCATAAATAAAAACAAGCAAAACTTACATTGAATACCCCTACTTTGGATTCTTTCAGTTCCACATGTAACCTATAAAGAACCAGAGAAGATTCAAAGCTGTGAGCATTATACCCCTGGAAAGGGTGAGCAAAGAGGGGCTCCCTAGGAAGGAGAAGGCCCTGGTATGAGAAGGAGGGGTAGGGCTGAGGTTAAAAAGATGATTAAATAACACAGCTACATTGGGAAGACTGACAAAGGAGAGGCAAGGGGTATGAAAGAGCTCAATCTTCATCATTTCAGGTAGTTAATATTGATGTTCAAAATTCATAGATCAAGGAAAAGTAGTACTAATAAATTATTTAGAAATTTGAAACTTGTTCAGGGGGGCAGTCCAATGGGGCAATAGGATTGGGTCAATTGAAGTGACATTCCCAGATAGCGGGTCCTAACATTGACAGGATCGCATCAAACCTTCTCCTCAACCCCAGCTTCAGAAAAGCAGCTATGGTGTCCTGATAGGGCCCAGCAGGCACTCCATTGTGGGCAGGAAGCTGACTTACTTTCCAGGGTCCAAGATCCCAGTGATCCTGCTGGTGTTGAGGTTCAGCGTGGCAGATACGTTAGTGACCTGGAAAAGCCGGTGGTAGGAAAGGTATAAATGACGGAGATTGTCAGGACAGGGAGGAGCTGTCTGCTCTCAACAAATGACTCAGTGAGTTGAAGCAGAAAATTCACCCAGTAGACTGTAGACTCCCAGAGGGCTCATTGTAGGTACTCAATAAATGTCTAAACTTGGACTTGAATATTTTTATTTGAAATTGCTGACTCTGATAGCAGTTAAACTTTGAACAGACTACCAAGAAAAGACATAGAGTACCCATCCTCAGAGAACTCTAAAAAAGTCATTAGTAGCTATCTCAGGGCCAAGATTCAGCTTTAGTCAAAATAATAATAAAATATATTTTATTTAAAAATACATGAACAATAAAAACAATTTTTATAACAATAACACCACTATCAAATTTAAATATATCCTCTGAGAAGAACAGCCATCTTTCAGAGATTTGACTTGCTGAGTTTCAAGCGTAAAACAAAAAACCAAATTTCTTTATCCACTAAGCAGGGACCCTGAGGTCCTGCTTAGAATCCTTTTTCTATTAGATGGAGTCCATCAAGAAAGAAAAAAACCACTCATTACTGAATGTGGAGATAATTTCATCCAAGAAATTGGTTATACAAGTGACAGAAATGTGAGAAAAAAAATTTGGTGAAACCCCACCCCAGACTATAGGAACAGAGAGTGGGGTTAGGATAGTGAGAGCTACCTTGGAGGATACAAAGTCCTTGCAGTCTCTAGCCCAAGAAAAAGCAAGAGGAAAAATACTCTGGGCTCTTGACTTCCTCCCAACCTCCATTCTCCTGACTTTGCTCCCCTAAGGTGGACGCAGCTGGAAATCAGAGTGCAAGGGAGCCTGGGAAATGTAGTCTTTAGGGGTCAGCTATAGATACAGAGCAGAGAGAACACAACAAAGACCCATATATCCTCCTCCCCACAATAGCCCTGATTCAGAGGGAGACACATACATTAAATAAATAAATCTGCATATAGCTACATATTAAATACCTTGGTAATAACCCCTATGAAGAAAAATAATGGGGAGCTGCAACAACAACAACAAAATGTCAAAAGTAAGATAAATTGGGGATAAGGACAATTAAGAAGGGCCTCTTTGGGGAAGTAATATGTCAGTTGCGATCCAAAGGAATTAGTGAGTTAGTGAGTGGGGAGAAAAGTACACAGGGAAAGGAATAGCCTTTGCAAAGGCCCTGAACCTTACCACATCAAGCCGGAAGATAGGCTTTCTGACAGAGCTGGGAAGGAGTACAAAGCCCTCAATCTCTATCTGGGACGTCACAGACAGATTCCCAGGACTCAGTTGCAGGAGTGGGGCAGAGACCACTCCTCCCTGGAGCTCCAAGTTCATGTTGGGGTACAGCCTGGCTATCTAGGGACCAAAGTAAGAGATTATGTTAAGACAAGAAAATAAGTAAGTCTGCAGCATCTTGAAGAAGTCACATAAAGCTGGGAAGACTTGTTGGTTGATTTTATTCCCCACAAAATGCTCTGTCCCTTTTTTTCTTAACAGCACACTCGACATCCATCTGTGTAGACAGAGTCACCACCATGTGGTTCATGGTTGCCTGGCATTCTATTGTACATAGTCCTTCAACTGATCCAGCCCTACAGGGCATGAAGTTGTCCCCATTAGGTTTGCCCACTACTTTGACCACTACCCTGAGTGTCCTTGGCTATTATTTTCTGGAGAGCATTTCTAGGGGTGGAGTTTCTGGGTCAAAGGGCAGAGCTTTAAGGAATCCTTTGGCAGGTTTTTGTTTTGTTTTGTTTCAGTACCAAGGATCAAACTCAGGACCTTGCACTTGCAAGGCAAGTACGGCACCACTGAGCTAAATCCCTGCCCCAATTTTGTTTTGTTTTTGAAATAGGATCTCCCTATGTAGTTCAGGCTGTCCTTGAGCTCATTATTGTGTTAGAGACGCAGAGCGGAGGGAGACCGTGCGGAGACCTTGCGGCAGGCTTTGTGTAAGCAAATGAGGGTGTTTGAGGGTGTTTATTCACTCTGTTGAGAGTAGGCTGAATCTGAAAGGGTATTCAGCATAGAGTGGAGGGAGAGCAAGACTCAAAAGGGGAAGTGGTTGCCAGGCATTGTTTGAGGAATGGCTGTCTTGAAGAATCCGGGGGGCACAGATAGTGTGGCCTGTGCTCCTCTGACCGGGAGGCAGTGCAGATGTTTTCTGGACCCAAGGGTGATGTAGCCCTACTCAGACTTCCTGGAACTGAGGACTGGGGCATGGTGCTCTGCAAAAGCCTTTCCTGCCAGGCGTGACAACTATGTAGCCCTGGCTGGCTCCTACCTCAGCTCCTGAGTGCTGGGATTACAGGCATGCACCACCACACCTGACTTTTGGCAGGTATTGCCAAACCATTCACCAAAAAGGTCAAGCTGTTTTCCCCTCACAACCCTTCTACAGGCAATGCTGGGCTCCATCGTGTCTCCATGCCCTCATCACACTTGGGTGACAGTGTGTGCTAACACCACTGGCAGTGTTTTCAAAATAGCACACAATCAGATCCCTACTTCAAAAGTGTTCAATTTTTTGTGGGCACAGAATTTAATTTGGGACAAGGCTGCTTCTTTTGGGTGGTTGTGTAACTGTGAAATCTACACACTACTCTAGATGAGAGAAGTTTGGAAGGTTGAGGAGGCTAAGTACTCTACTGAGAACTGCTTCTTCACAGGTGATTATGATGAGGGTAGGAAGAGGGAGGAGGAGCTTCTTTTGCTGGGGTGAAAGGGATATTGGAGGCAGGATGTGGTCAAGGGACACTCCTAAGAAGCTGGCTGGGACAGTATGGCAGGCGCTAGGGAGAGAAAAGGCCTGTAGGTGGCGCCATATGGAAAGACGTGACTAGCCACTGAAGTTTAAATCTTTCCCACCGTTCTAATTCCCTTCAGCCATCACCAAACCTTCAGCAATGCATTTTAAACACTACTCCTGCCTGAGCTGCATGTGGGGGTTTGGGGAGAGGACTAGCCAATTTCTGTGGGATTAAGTGAGGGAGTGTGCATGAAGAGTTTAGCCCAGCAATGTTGGAACTACCAGGCTGTTTAGTGTAAAATGGATGTAGTAAAAGGCTGGGAAACAACTACATGTCCCTCCACGGAGGACTGGCTAGACAGCCATGGTAAACTCGCTCCAGGCAGGTTGGATCCCATGGGAAAGGAGTAAGTTCTTTATTTGTCTATATGGAAGGGTCCCCAGGTATGGGGGGGGGGAGATATGCAAAATGGTATATAATATGCCTCCATTAGTGTAAAAAATGGGGAAAGGTGTAGCACATTTGCTATATACTATGTCTATTTCTATTTCTATCTAGACTGTCAAAGAAGGATGCACACAATCTGATACTACTGGGAGACTCCAGATGGAAACTGGGTGTCAGGGAACTGAAGTGGTTAGGAGACTTCCCATTCTATAAGCTTTTAAAATTATTTGAATATTGAGCTATGAGAATTTCTTTTCCATTCAAAAAATATTTTTTTAAAGCACCTTCAACATGCCTAGTCCCTAGTAAGCCTCCTATGACTGTTAGATGTTATTAACTGGGGTGTTCTTTATTGAACATTCTTTAGGATTCTTAGCACCAAAACATTTTTAAAACCCTGGACAACCTGGATGGCTCCATAAGACATGGCGCTCAGGTCTCTGCTGCTTGGGCTTTGATGGGAACCTGAGGCCTGCGGCTCCCTGACCTCCCTCCTGGCCTTCAGCCTCTCAGTCAAGCAGAGAGGCACATAGAGGCATTGGAGAAAGTTTGGAAGTCTGCAGGGCTCAGTCTGTGCCCATGGAGAGTTGAGGGCACCTTACCCGGGGGGCGAAGGCTCGAAAGGAACCGGTGGTCAGTCGGAAGGGAGAGTCGGACGGAATCTGCAACAGAGACACAAAGACCTTTTAGGGAGCAGAAGTTGGAAGAGAGTGGGGCAGGCTGGGGATTCCTAGTTGAGGATGGTAATTTCTCACTGAGAGCAGGCACTTTGGTGCTGGGGAGATGCCTGCCCTGGATTCACCCCAGGCTGAGCACACAAGTCTCCTGAGGCTTGGTTGGGGTGACATGTGCGCCACTTGAGGGTCTCTGAGTGAGAACTGGTATAGGCTCCTGGCTGTGTCACTGTGTGATGTTAAGCCCATTTTCATCTCCCGAGCCTCTGCTTAATTGGATTATAATAGTCCCCACTTTCAGGCAAAGCCGGGCACGGTGCAGCAGGTGGGTGTGTGAGAGTGCATCAACACAGCAGGTAAAAGTGCGGCAGGGGCCCTCCCAGAGGCATGCAGTGAGGGCCTTCTCAGAAAAAGGACAGCATGACACAGTTAGTTCCTAGGTATGCATGTATAGCTCTTGCATGGCTCTGTAGTGTGGATTGTACTCAATCAGGTAATATCTGTGATTGTACCCAATCATACAGTATGTTAGTGTGTCATCATTTAAGGGAAACAAAGGCACAAAAATTACATAAAGGGAAACACTTCTCCATGATTGGGGCTCAGCATTTCTGGTATTAGCCCACTGAGCCAGTGTGGACACAAATGAAGTTGCTTCCTAAAAAAAAAAAATCTTGGTGTCCCATCTCTCTATGTGAAAATCCCACTATAAAAGGTGAGTGTGAGAGTGTGTGTGTGTGTGTGTGTGTGTGAGAGAGAGAGAGCAAGCGAGCGAGAGAGAGAGAGAGAGAGAGAGAGAGAAATCATCTGCAGGACAAAAAGAACCCCCATCCATCCATGGCCTCTGGTTAATACGTGGATCACACTGTTGTCCCCCGTCATCCTGACATTGTTCATGAAACCCCGATTTTTATGAAGTACTATAAGAAGCAGCCTTTTGAATCCCAGAAATACTAAAGAAATTGGACATACACTAAAGATGCAAATGTCCCGTGCACAAAGCCCCATAGCAGACAGTTTTAGAGGCAAGTGTTAGGAAGACTTTGTCTCTTCCTTTCACTATGAAGGACTAAGTCACATATTCTTTCACTTTGGCTACAAGGAAGCTCCCAGACAGTTTTGTGGTATTAAAAAAAGCCATTTATGGGCCCAGTGTCTTCATAATTGCACTTTCCTTTTCGCTTAGCCTTAATTTCCTTTTCTTTATAAATTTTATACATCTATTATCTTGCTTCATTCACTAAAATACTTTTAATAAACCTCCACAAATCAAGATAAGAGGAAATACAATTTAGAAAAATGGATCTAAACTAAGAGAAAAGTAAAACACAGACAAGCAAACTGCAAAGTCTTCTATAGTTGTTATGCAGGAAAAAAGAACTTTGGCTTTAAGCTTGTTTGCAGTAATAAAGAGAAGTTGTGCCAACTTATTTCTTTCTTTGTTTCTTTTTCTTTTTCTTTTTTTTTGGTTAATGGGGATTGAATTCAGGACCTTGAGCTTGCAAGGCAGGCGGCCGCACCACTGAGGTAAATCCTTGGCCCTAATCTATCTCTTTTCTTGATGCTGATTTTTTTCTTAGTTTAAGTTACATTTTTACTGATGTAAATAAGGGTGAGAAGGAACAATGGAGGATCAGTTAAGCTGTCGCTGGAGAGCCCTACTTTGCCCATCCTCACCATGTCGTCTGTGAAGGAGAAGTTCATGTACCCGGCCTGGTAGTAAACCAGGCTGGCTGTGTTGAAGACATAGTCAGAGATAGCAAAATAGACCATTTGGGTGTGATCTTCCGGAAGGCTCAAGACTGGAGGAAGAAGAGCAACTGGGGAGCGGTGATTATGATAAAAAATTTCACCCTGGAGAGAGAGAAATAGGATTCAGTTGAACTTTTCAAAGTTTGTTGCAGGGCTGGACATCTGAGCTGGGGTGGCCCCTGGAGCAGCTGGTAGAGTGCACTAGGTGGAGACATGGCCTGCAATGCTCCCTCGAGAGGTTTCTGTGGGCCGGAGTGTCTCTCTCTGCAAAGCCCCAGAAGCTTTGGCTCATGAACCCACAGGATGCACTGGCCAGCCCATCTATCCCCCAGGGCTAGCGGCAACTGACCTCCCTACAGGGCACACAGCTGGAGGAGGAGAGGCAATTTTAAGACCTGAAGGTGGTGAGACACCTGCCCCATCTAGAGTTTCTGGGAATGCTCCTTCCACTGCTCCATATCTCCTGCCTTTGACAGAGTGGGAACCACTGGGGAGATGAGGACAGATTTCAAGTTCTGGAACAGAAGGCCCAGAAGTGCACTAATCCTGGGGCAATGCTGCCCTGGCACCAGATCCCCCAGGCCACGCTCCAGAGCCCTCACCTTGAACAGCACATCCAGCATCTGGGCTGTTGCCTGAGGGGCTTCCGTTAAACTGTAGTCAACATCCAAGAAGCTATCGATCTTTGCTGTGACTGGGAACCAGGAAAGGGGCAAGATCAGGGGCTAGACATGGTGTCCAGCTGATGGAGAAAGAGCAAGAGCTCTGGCTGACTCACACAGAGCCCCCCAGCTTCTGTCTAAGGATCCCCCACCCAGCCCAGGCCCAGGAAAACTGCTTCTCCTGTCCCACTGGGAGATTAGCAGTGGTGGGGGTGCTAGGCTCAGCCTGGGGCCTCAGCAGCTTTCTCACACACACACACACACACACACACACACACACACACACCCAGGAGGAGCCAGGTCTGGCAGCCTGGGGCTTCACACCTCCAGCCCCTCTTGGAGCTTCATGCTGAGCCAAATAACCAGAATGGCCAGGCAAGTCCCAGAGCCTGGATACTGCTCTCCAATGCCATAGGCTGGCAAATGTGCAGGTCCTCACACACTGGGCCAGCTGGGCCAGCTTGGCCTAAGATGAATGGGCTGTTTATACTGCATGGAGGCCTGGGGACCACCATACAATGTCTCAGACAGGTGCTATCCCTCCAGACTATATGTGCACCCTGGATCCAAGGACACTACTTGTGAATCATCACTCTGCAGACCCATTCATACATATAGGCAAAGGAGGAAATACAAGTTGCTTCCTGCAGCCCTGCGGGCAATAACAAAGGATGCAAGACCTGAATTTCCCCTTTGCTGGGGCTATTTAATGAGGACACACCCACAGGATGGAATACTACACAGCTATAGACCAATGGGATTTGTGACCAACACCATTCCAGACAACTCTTTGACAGGACCTACAACACATCACATGCGCCTACTGTTTCACTCCTAGGCCTAAATCCAAAGACATGCACCATCGGTACTGGAACATTCACAGTGGCACAACTCAGAATGGTGCAAAGTGGAGACAACTCAAACGGCCTTCCACGGTAGAGTGATGCTGGGTGGAGGGACATCCGCTCGGTGCACAGCACAGCAAGGAGAATGAATGAACAATGTGATTGGCCTCGAGTTTTAAAGATGAACAAGTTGCCCTTGAGGCCAGGTTGTGACTGAAGGGGACCCAAAGAGGTTCTGGAAGCCGATCATATTCTGCTTTGATCTGGGAGCTGGTTCCATTCACTGGCTCAGTACGCAAAAATTCTTTAAGCTGCACTTATGCGTGTACTTATTTGAGTACATTTTTCTATGAATGCACTTCAATAAAAAGTTTTCTAAAATGACTTCACTTTATGAGTGCTGATCTAGAAGGCTCTCCAAGATCTATAAATTTAAAAAGAACTGTCTAGGATGGTGGTGCACACCTGTAATCCCAGCACTCAGGAGGCTGAGGCAGGAGGATCACTGTGAGTTTGAGGCCAGCCTGGACAACATAGTAAGTTCAAGGCCAGCCTGAACTACAAAGTGAGACCCTATCTCAAAAAAAACCCCAAACAAAACAAAACAAAAAGATAAAAAATAAATAAATAAATAAAAAGAATCACAGGCAAAACAATATGTGTACTGTGTGTACTAATAGATATATATTTATGATTATGGATATATTCATAAATAAAAATAGTACATATAAGAATGGATAGACTGGGGATTTAGCTCAGTGGTTTCATTGCCTGCTGCGCAAGCGCAAGGACCCAAGTTTGATCCCCGGTATCAAAAAAAAAAAAAAGAATGGATAGCCATGTGCTTATGTAGATTTATATTTGTACATGCAAAGAAAATATACACCTCAAACAGAGCTTACTTCCTGGAGAGTTGGGGAGAAAAGAGATAATTGTGCTGGAGATTGAACCTAGAACCTCATATATGCCAGGCAATTGTTCTATCGTTAAACTACATCCCCAGCCTAGAAAAATGGATTTTCAAATTGTTACTTTCTATACATCTGTCCCACTTAATGTTTTACAAGGTATATATATATATATACGCTGCCATAAAAATTAATGGAACTGGGTCAGAGATTTAGCTCAGTGGTTCTGCTGCCTGCTTCGTAAGCACAAGGTCCCGAGTTCAATCTCCAGTACCAAAAAAAAAAAAAAAATTAATGGAACTAAAGTGTCCCTGGGTGGGTGGGCACCTTACCTGGCAGGGTTTGGAGATAAGGTTGTAGGTCAGAGGTCACTGATTTCTGGACCATTTCACAAATCTAGGGAAAAAAATGGGAAAAGAAAGGCTGAGTGAGCTTCTCAGCTTCTTCCTGGCACTCTGATGATCACTTTAGGAACATTTCACTTGTTATCTCAGTGATCATTGATCCCAGAAGAAACAGAAATGACTTTTTAAAAAGGCCCCTGTGTGGACTCCAATAGACTTTCAAAGTCTATGCCAACACTGGGCAACTGAGCTAGGTGAAGGACCACAGCCTGGAGACAACACAGGAAACCACACCAACAAAGACATTTTCTTTGGGAAGCTCTGGCCTCTCAGAAGTCACGGATCAACAGCAGAACTAAATAGTAACTAGAAATACCCACACACATGACTTCTTATGCTTCATAGTGGACACTGAACAGGTTAGCTGGATTCACAATGTGCCCCCTTCCCTCTGGTGCCCACGGAGGACAGAATGGTCACATCTGTAGGCTACTTACCCACTAATTATTGCCACCAGGTGAGCTGTATGCTTCTTGACAGAAAGAAATATATGTTTCCAAACCAGTTTGCTCTATTTGCTATTGTGATCACTTGGATTATTTATTATGTAAACCAATGAATATGACTGAGAAAAGAGGTGTTTCTAAGAAAATCAAAGATAAATACCTTAGAAAGGTGAGATGCTGAAAAACATGGTTAAATTTGGACAAGACAACAGGAAAGCTTAGGGGAAAAATATTATAAAACTCTAGAAGTCTTCTGCACTGGGATGGCTTTGCAAGTGGCATTAAATTCTCATCATGGCTAAGGAATTTGTGGCAGCTCAGTGCTATAGGTAAGAAAGCCAAGTGCAATGCCAAAGGGCTGTTTCTGAAGAGTAGTTCTGTATCCTGGCCCTAAAGATGGAAAATGATTTTGCATTTACTTTATCTCAAAACACTTGGGTTAGCATCTAAGTATTTTCTTTGTTCATGTGTATATGAGAGAGCCCTCAGTTTATCTTTTCAATTAATCAGGTATCGCTGATTGCAACAACTCCATGTGCACAATGGAGCTGGGGGCACTGGCCTAGGCAGGATGGCCTCTGTCTTCTCAGAAGAGGCAACATTTCAAGGGCAATCTGAAGGGTGTGTAGGCATTAGTCAGGCACCAGGAGGTGGAAAGGGTGCTGCCAGGACCAGGCAGGTGAGGGCCTGGATCTTTACCTCCTTCTGCAGCTGCCCCATGTTCTGGGAGAGGAGGTTGGCAGCAAGGAGCTGACAGAGAGCAAAGAAAGGGCTGGGAAGGGAGCCTTCTCGGAGGATTGCCAGGAAACCCCTCTCAGGCTCACCTAGAACCATTCCCTTCTTGCTCTTCCTTCAGACCACCCCAAAGTCCCTGAACTCCTTCAGGGACTGAAGGAGTTCAGGGACTTGGTCCCAGATACACAGCAGGGTCTCCTGGGGAGGCAGGGGGAGGGTTTGTTAGGGTGCAGAGTTGAACAAGGATAAGGTCAAGTCCTGGTCAGTCCCCTACTGTGACCTTTGCAGAAGCTCTGCTTTGTGGTCCTCTTTCACAGGGTACAATGGCAAGGCCAAGTGCTTCCCAGGGACTTGGTGGGAGGAGGAAAACCACAGCGAGTATTTATCCCCAGAGAATAGATATGCTTAGGCCTCTGGGCCAGAAACCACAGCTCACCCGAGTGAGGATTAGCAAGGTCCGGTACCAGGCTTTTGGGAGGGAGCCTAGGAGAAGGAGACCCTGGAGACCCACAGGGACTGCCATAGGAGATTAGGGGGGTAGCAAAGCTAGCTGGGGAAGTAGGCATAACCTGTTAATCACAAGATCCTGGAACACAGGCCCAGAACACTTCCCAAAGCCCTGCAGCTGGATTTTTCTCAAGAACTCGAGCAGGTTTTCAATAGGATGGCCTAGACCTGACGTCAGCCTGAGGTGTGGGATCCCAGCACTCCATCTCAGGACCCACATATAGAAATCTGTGTAGGTTTCCTCGAGATTTGGACACCATAAAAAGACATAGACAGCATGTTATGGCTTGTGTTTAGATGGCTCCCCAAAGCCTCATGCAGATGAGGTGGGGCTTTCTTTTTCAGAGGTAGTTGAATCTGGAATGTGTGATGCTGAGGTTAAGGGCATGTGATTACTAAACCACTACATGTGAGCGATTAGTTTGGCTCTGCCCTAATCCTGGTAGTCTGAATAAGATAAAAGGGACAGAAAGATGCTGGTAACCCCGTTGTTACCTTTGTGTCCTTGTGCGTGCCATGTTGTTTCTCCTCTGCAATGCCTGTTTGTCATCTCTGCCTTGGAGTTGGCTGATTATGGACTGAAACCTCTGTGAACTGTAAGCCAAACAAACACCTTTCTCTCTAACTCTGGGCATTGGGTATTTTGTCTCAGCAGTGAGAGAAAAGTAACTAACACACAGCAAGAGGAGCTCGCTATCATGGCTTTCCTCATGAAAGCCTGCCCTGCTTTCTCCAGGGTGTTCTTTTATCTTGCTTTATCCTATTACTCAGTCCAAGCTCGCTCTGCAGAGCCAGTTTCTCCCTCACTCTTCACTTTTACTTTTTCACTGATTTTTGCTTATTTCATACAATTCTTTCTTTGAGACTAAAAGAACCTCGAATCTTACTCCAGAAGGAGATAAAAGCAACCCAGAACCTGGTAACATTTAATTTGCAAGCCACTTTTAGAAGGAGCTACCCAATAACATTTTGGCATAGGCCGGAGATTCCAATAATAGAACCAGGGACAGGCAAGATCTCTGACTCTCCCAAGATATCTGGCCCTTCCAAGGCCTTTGGCATAAAAGGCTCTGCATCCTCTTGAGAAGGGCTTAATCTTGGCTGGCCTCTCACAGCCAGGTGACTGGGCAGGTTACCCTGCTCCTCAGAGCCTCCTCTGTCAGATGTGGAGCATGGCACCTGCTTCAAAGGTTGAAGTCTAAGTTCAGCAGGGCTGTGACTGCAAAGGGCTTAGCTCCCTGATCCTGGCCAAAGCACAGACTAGAAGAATAACAGCCATTATTTTATAAATGAGAATGTTTATGCAGTGATATGTTCTTCATAATTATATTAATTCACCAAAGCAATAATTCTTTTTTATTTTCTTTCTTTCTTTTTTTTTTTTCGAGACAAGGTCTCACTATGTAGCTCAGGCTGGCCTCGAACTCATGGCAATCCTCCTGCCTCAGCCTCCTGAGTGCTGGGACTATAGGTGTGCGCCATAACACCCAGCTACCAGAGCAAATAATTCTTACAGTACTACTGTGATGATGAATTGTAATGTTTTACTGTTGTTATATAATACTAACCATTGTTATCACCATCACCAAAATAGGAGTGTAAATCAACACAACAATATGGCAATAGGGTGTCTAAGTAGGAGGCTAGCATATTTCTCAAATTCTATTAGGTCTCAGAACCAGTAAAGGATGCAGCGGGCTAGTGTGTGGCGTCTGCATGCTAATCCTGCTTCCACCACAAGGGGACCAGTAAAGCCAGACTAGAGGTTGGGGGAAGACAGATGGGGTGTGTGTGTCTGTGTGTGTGTGTGTGTGTGTGTGTGTGTGTGTTTCCCCTTTTCTTCTTCCCTCACTGTTTCCCTTCCCACATAGACTGATTATAGCACAGCTCTGTAGTATTCTAGAAATGGGATTTGGGGGTGAAAGAATGTTGGGAGAAATTGGAAGTTAGCGTGAGATAGTTTTGTTTCAATTAGAGCTATATATGGCTATATATAGTTTCTGCCTCCCCATGGGGGTCAAGTGCTCACCAGCTTGCTCTGCTCCCACTGGATCTGACACTTGCGGAAGTGACCTGCCTGGCTTCTGCAGTGCTTGGGTGGTGACTTCCTTGTATGTTTTGGGAATGCAGGTGAGTGTGGGGTTAGGGTTAGGGTTAGGATTAGGGTTAGGGTTAGCGAGGCCTAGCAAGGAAGTGGGTGGAGTCTGTCTTGCCCTCAACATTGTTTTACCATTGGCAAAATATCTAGCTGTTTTATCTCTAGTTGGATGGACTTGAAGTTTGATTTGTCCTCCTGGGGCTGTGGCCTAAGTTCATCCAAACCAGGCCCCAAGGCCCCTTGGCAGGAGGGCTGTAAGGACTTCCCCCAGGCCTTGCCTCACCCAGCAGGTGCCAGGCCATCTGAACCTTCTTACCTTGCTCTCCAACACTCTTCGGAACCTGGACTGAATCTGGTCACGTAAGAGTTTCAGCAGCCACCTGGGTAGGAAGATGGTCGGCTGTCTACCACTGGACATGGGGACAGCACGGGGAGGCAGGCCCATTCCAGTCCCCAGAGTCCTGCACACCCACCCACTCTGGCTCATACATCTGCTTCCCAGTCACTTGGTAAACACTGATTAATTCAGTGGACTTGGGGGAAGGTGCTCAGTAATCTAGAATTTTCTAATAAAAGGAACTGAGACTCAAAGAAATGAAATAACTTGACCATGGACTTACATATTTTTTACAAACTCTCCTACAGCCAAAAGCCTTTCTTTATGTTTCTCTAAAAGCCAACTTTTATTTGCCCAACAAAGGTAGATTCCTAGTTTACTTATTTATTTTCTATAGGATGACATACTCATACCCTAGCTTGAATCTGCATGTGTCCCTTCCAGCAGGGCCACAGGGAATGATCTCCAAGTGCCTGTGGAGGGCTCGTGCATCCAGCCTGGATCCTTACCCTTAGCAGAGCTAGGCTGAGGCCTGGATGGGCCCAGGATGGACCCAGTGGTCCAGTGGCAGTGTCCCCACGGTGGCTTACCCTAAACCCCCAGACAGGTCCACCTCCACTCTCCGGATGTAGCTGTTGCAGCTGGAGGCAGTGACTGTGGGCCTCCCCGAGGGCTCGCTGCCCAACAGGAGGTTGATGGCAATGGTGATGTCCTCCACCTGCAGGTCAAAGGAGCCTTGTGGTTTCCTGGAGAAGATTAGAAAGTTCAATGCTTACCTCAAAATAAGTGGGACTAGCAAAAACTTGAGACTTAATGACAAGTAAAAAAGATTTAATAACAAACAAAAGCTCTAGGAAGCCTGGGGCGAGTGTTTAAAGTCAGGGCTGGGCAGAGGCATTTCTAGCAAGATCCAGGCCTCATGAATCATAAAGGAAATGGCTGATAAACTTGCAAGCAAAGAAAATTAAAATTTTCAGGAACAAAAAATGCAGTATGCAAAGTACAAAAAGTGTACCATGAGACAGCCAGAGAGCTAATTTTCTTTCTATACAAAGAGCAAATAATAATGAAAAGATAAAATTCAAAAGAAACTTAAAAAAAAACAAAGCTATGGGCAGCAAGTTCAATGGCATATAAGCATATGAAAATAGCCTAACAATCCTGCCAGTTTTCACCTACAAGACTGACCAAACTTCTGAAGTCTTAGTCCTCAGTGTTGGTGAAGATACAGGAAACAGACACTCCAGGTGCTGTGGTTGGGAGACCATACTGGTACTGCTTTTCTGAAACATAGACCAGTGGCATCTGTTCTCATTGCAACACATGTCTCTTTGGCCTGGCAATTTGACTTCTAAGCCTTTATCTGGGCTCTTTTTGCCCAGATATATGTGTGGGGACAGCTCACTAACGCATCATGGCTAATCTGAAAAAGTGAAAAATCAACCCAAAGGTCTACTAGTAGTGGCAGGTTGTGGACATCTCTGCTATGCAGCCTTTAAAAAACAGCAAGGCAGAACATGATGTATTCATACAAGATCAAACTCATCCAACTAAGAAACAAAGCCTGCCTTTGTTTACATACAGTGCTCTGATGCACACTGTAATGCGGATGAACCTTGGAAGTACACTAAGTGAAAGAAGACAACATGTCACATATTGCATGACTCAAGTGAAATATCTGGAGCAGGTAGATCATGGAGACAGAGCACAGGTTAGAAATCGCCTTGGGGCTGAGGGCAGGGAAATGGGAATAACTGCCTAATGGGCATGAAGTTTTTTCCTGGGGTGATGAAATGTTTTTGCACTAGTTATAGGTGGTAGTTGCACAACAGTGTGAATGGGCCGAGTTGTACATTTTAAAATTGCCAATATTATGTCAGGTGAATTGCATCTCAATAAAAATGCACCTAAGAAAGTAAAAGAAAAAAAGAGGCAGGTCTTCATATGCTCATATAAAGAGATCATTAAAATGATTCAGTGACAAAAGCCAGTGCAGAAGAGTGTGGGCGTGATTCTTTCATGGCAATAGAATAAATGGGCACAGAGGTGACATCCTCCTGAGTGTTTCCCAAAGCAGCAGTAGTTACAGAACGTGAGCCACATAGGTCATTTAAAACTTTCCAGTAGCCACTTAAAAAGACAAAAAGAAAGAGGTGAAACTAATTTTAATAATATCATCTCAGCAGATAATCAATGAGATTTGTGTTCTGTTTTATAATACACTTTCAAGTCTGGTGTTTCCTGCTTACAACAGAGCGCAGTTTGTGCGGGGTACTTCTCAATACCTGTGGCAGGAGGCTACGATGCTGGGCAATGTGATCTACAGCACAAAAAACATGCTGTGGTCACCCAGCTTGGATCGGCTGGCCCTTCTGTCCTGGGCTCAATTGTGTCCCCCCCCGCCACATCCGTGTGTTGAAAGCCTTAACCCCAGAACGTCGATCTGACTGTATTTAGAGGTGATGAAATTAGAAGAGTTCATCGGGTGGGGCCCTAATCCACTCTGACTGGTGTCCTCATAGGAGGATATTAGGACACAGGAAGAGACACGGGCATTAAGAGCTCAGGAGACCTTGAGGACACAGCAAGCAGCTGCCGTCTGTAAGCCACAGAGAGGCCTCAGAAGAAACCAGGCCTTTGGACACCTTGCTCATGGATTTTCAGTGTGATAGGCAACCTGACTCCGTTTGTGTAGAGTCCAGTAATTCTGGGTGGTCGCCTTCCCCTTCCCCCTTGGGAGTCCCCTCAGTTAATGTATGACAGACCAACCACATCCTATGTGAGTCTGCAACTATGTTATCTCCACTACCTTGTAAACAGAAGACTCGCACGTGTGTGATATTTTGTTTTAACTAAACTGTGTGAAACTTCCCCGACCCCCACTAGCTTAGCAAAGTTCTGCTCCTGTGAAGTTCCACTTGTGCTCCCCCTCTCCCTGAGCCCTCCTCAAATAGAAGAGCCCTTAAAAGGACCCTGCAAACTGCCTTTCCTTCCTCTAGTCTTTTTGGTGTGAGCCACTCTGGAATGCTGGCTATGACAATAATAAAGACTCTATTTAATTCAGAGTGTGGCGCATCTCTATAGTTCCAACTTGCCTGGCCCTATAACACCAGCTCCAGAACTGGGAGAATCGTACATTTCTGTTCCTGCCCCAGGCCTGTTCCATGTAGGGGTCCCAGCAAGGTAATACTCCTTCCGAGTTCCCAAGGGCCAAGAACTATCCCAGTGCTGGTGGGCAGTGCCCTGAGGCTGCCCTGACTGGTAGCAGAGGAAGAAGGTGTCACAGGGCTGAGCCAAGGTGACTCAGAGGGGTGTCCCCTTCTGTCCCCCAGCATCTCCTTGGGGGTCGAAGCTCCAGCTGCTCACCAAGCTGCCCTCCTTTTCTTCCTGCCTCCCTGCTCCTGCCCCTAGGGCACTTCCCAGATGAAGGTCCTGCCCTGGGATTCTTGCTTGGGGTCTGCTTCTGCGGGAAGCCACACTGCTCCCCAGGGAAGCAAGTGTGTCCCCATGGGAGATGTGGAACCAGAGACCCAGGGCCTCCTCCACCAGCCAGGGCTCAGATCCTGGCCCACCTGGGCTGGGGCCCCCTCTGTCCATCATGTGCCTTTGTGATGAGCTAGGAGAGACCCGAGAAGGATGGATGAGGGCCAAGGCGAGGACCTGAGGGCCTGGGAGCAGAGCCAACTTACATGAACCTGTTCAGCTTCACCTTCCACCTGCCCTGCATGTGGATGGAGGAGTCCGAGATGGAGAGACTCAGGCCATGGCTGGGCAGTGGCTTCAGCACAGAGCCGCGCAGCTCACAGCTTCGGATGTCCAGGCTTCGAGGAGAGACATGCAGAGGGAGGAGTCCGGCCAGGGCCTGGACCTCACTCCTGGCTTTGCACCCTTCCCCTGCAAGGGAGGACTGGACCAGCAGGAAGAGGCAGCCCCAAGTCCCCCCCTTATCCACACCTGTCCCGTGCCAGGTATGGGTCACAGGACCTCACTGAGCATGTCACACCTCTTATGTCACTCAGACTTCACCCAGGGGTCAGTGCTGTCCTTATTTCCTTGCCACAGAGGGGAAGCAGACCCCGAGGAAGGGACACAGTTGCTCACAGCCATACAGGCAAGGTGAGACACCAGAAGTCCTGGGTCCTGGCTGGCATGGGAGGGCGCAGGCTCAAGCCTTTGCCTTTGCAGCTCCTTCTGGAAGCCTCAGTACCCGAGGAGAGGTATTAGATTCAAAGGAGACTGAGGCAGCCTCAGAGAGACAGGAAGGGCAGGTGAGGGGTGCCATCCATGGGAAAGTAAGGCCCAGTTCCATTGCATTTGCCTGGCACATAACAGGTGCTCAATTAGATGTTTGCTGGCAAACTGAGTAAAAGAGGAAGAAATGAATGAAGCAAGCAGTGAGGAGGAAGGGCGTAACAAGCTGTGGGTCTGATTGCCCTCCCTCCACTGTCCAGCCTTCAATAAACAATTCATTCATTTTTTAAAAAAGCATGAGCTGCTTCTGTCTAGTGATCCCTTAAGGACTCAGCTCAAATGCCATCTCCCCAGTCACCCCAGGCCCCAGAAAAGGCAGAGTGCCACCTGTGGAACTCATAGCTCCCATGGCCGACATGTTTTATCTTGAAGTCCCCGTTGAAGTTAGGCAGCTTGATCTTCTGCAGCTCTCTCTGCAGACCCAACAGCCCCTCCTGAGCCCCTGTGGACCAGAAAAGTTGGGGGTCAGTTTGGTCTGCCTGCCTCCCTCCCCTCCTCTGATGCCTTCCATGGCTCCCACCTGCTCTGGGGAGAGAGGTCAACTTCCTTATTAGCACTAATTACAGTTCCAGTTATTGAGCTTCTCTGGGTGCCAGGTGGCATGAGAAACCACCAGGGCTGCCCCTGCATTCCGTGAGGTTTTCCTTTTGTGCCCAGTTTACACATGAAGGAAGACTCGGCCACCTTTGCCAACACCTCTCCAGGGAAAGAGTGTTGTGCCCTTGGGTGCACGGTCTTCTTTTCTGTCCCCCTGGCATCTGGCCTGCCTCGAAGGAACTGGAAGGATTTTAAGGCCATCTTTCCAGCTGAGTGACTTTAAATCAGTCTCCAGACTTCACTTTCTCTGCTTGTCAAAAAGCAAGGATGATTCTTTCCTCTTTGGGGCAGCAGATGGGTCAAAGGGCATCACAACTGCCAAGCAAAACGGCACCCAGGAGAATAGCAACTGCTTGTAGCTTGAGCTTGGCATGCAGCAAGCACTCAACAAGTGCCCACTACAGCACAGCAGGGCTTGTATTATTAAAGATACAAAGGACAGCAATGTCCAGCTTTAGAAGACTGGTTAATCATGGTACACTTGCACAGTGGAAAGCAACGAAAGACAAACCCTCCCGATTCAGGATTTCCATACAAACAGCAGTTCGTGTGCCCCACTGTTCTGAGGTATGAGGACCCAGGGTTCTGTCCCCAGCGGGGCTGAGTACACAGATGACCAAGCCCTCCCCTTCCACCTCTCCCCACTTGTTACCTTCAGTCTAGCAAATGCACATGCTGGGGCCCTGGCCTGGGCCACTGCCCGGTTCCTGGCCAATTACTACCCTCTTGTTCACCTTTTCTTCTCCTAGAAGCGTTCCCTGAGTTCCTTTTGTCCCTAACCACCCTGGGTTCCTAATAACCCTACCTGGCCAAGGGAATGACCCTCCTACTCCCCATCTAACAGCTAACACAATCGAGGCTCCAGCCATGGGACTTGTTTGGGGTGTGTGGATACCCCAGCTCCCTCATCCCTTGGACAGGACAGTGCTAAGGCTTTGTTTTAGCATCTTTTAAAATGATAACCCTAGGGCCGGGGATTTAGCTCAGTGGTTCTGGCATGTGGCTCGCAAGCCCAAGGTTCAATCCCTGGTACCAAAAAATAAATAAAATGGTAGCCTTACTTTTATCTGTTCTTTTAAGCTGGGGAATAACGTACAATAAATCTAACTGTAAAGGTTTTCCTCTGCTCTGGCTCATGTACCCTGTCCCAGAAGCCTTTCCTGGATTCATCTTCCACATCAACTACTGAGCCTGAAGCTTTGTCCCCATCCGCTGGTGGGAACGCAGCTAACACAAGTGTAATGTGCCTGAGTCACACAGCTGGGGGTGACCAGGCCAGAATTCCAGCCAGAGCCGCCAGACCCAGAAGGCTGCCCCATGGGGGTGAGTGGCCGTCCCTGTCCCCACTGTGCCCCAAGTAGCTGATGCCAACAGCATGGCTTCTTACCATAGGCCAGGCCCTTGTCAGTGATCCTGGCAACCAGGCCTGGGTTGGTGCCCAGAACCCCTAGGGCGGATATGAGCAGCAAGCCCAGCAGTAGGGACAACAGGGACCCAGGCGAGGCCCCCATCCTGGGTTCTCGGTGGGTGGCAGGACTGTCACACACAGGCTGGCCTGGCTCCCTTAAGTAGTCAAGGCCGAGGGCTGGGGGTGGCTCCGGAGGGAGGCCGGGCACCTGGGAGCGGGAAGGGGAGGCAACAGACGGAAACTGCTTGCGACATTGTTGTGGTCGGGCACAGGTCACACTCAGAAGCCTGTTACTGCTGCTCAGGCAAGAAAGGGGGTGGGGTGCGCTGGTCCCAAGTGATAATCCCTGCTCACCCTGCCACAAAACCCACATTAGTAGAGGTGCTGCCTCCTGTCAGCCAGGTCCTAAAGCTGGGCTGGGAAGGCCTGGTGTCACAGATGGGGAAACTGAGGCTTCCAGCGGTCACAGCACTCACTCAGGATCACATACCCAGCAAGAAGCAGGCTGAGGGAAGAGCAGGTCTTTGGCCATCGGACTCTTCCTGCTCTGTACTTGGTTCTCAGTCTCTGTTTACTTAAAAGGACCTGTGCTTCTTCTGTGGGAAAACAGGTTCTCACCCACCTTGCTGGTGGTATGATTTTCTGCAAAGTAACTTGGCAAATCTTTAAACTTTAATTCCCTGAACAAGAAAACCAACCAACCAACCAACCAAACAAATCACCCAACCAACCAGCCAAAGCCAACACTAAGAAAAAAATCTCTTTAAACAGTTTTGGATCCTGTGACCCAGCAATTCTCCTTCTGCACCTTGCCCCTCTGTACATCTTTAAATCCATGTGTAAATATGTTACCACCCTAAGAAGGCTCTGTGCTGTGTGACATAGGCAGGTGGACCGGCCCAACCTGGAATGTCCCAGGGTGGCATTGGTGGCATGAATTATGACACAGCCATTGAAGTGAGGAGGCAGGATTAATGCATCTCTAGATAAAGAAGGATGCTCATGTGGTAACGTTCTAGGTCTTTGACCAGAAGTCAGTTAGGAAAGTACTTAACAAGTCTGTTGTCTGGTAGTTCCTTTGGAAAGGGCTTGCCAATTAAACATATTCCAGTTCCTTTTTGTCTTGAACAAATAATTGAATAACCAGCCAAAAATGGTGTCAAAAGTTAATTGAAAAGTGAGATATGAAGGAGTAAGAAAAATTGGCTCTGCAGAGCAAACTTGGGCCAAACAAAAGAGACAAAGAGCAAAAATAAAACTACATCTTGGCCTGGGAGACACAGGGTGGGCTACTGTGAGGAGTCACAACAGCAGGCTCCTTGCGGCATCTCATCTTTTTTATGCCATCCGCATCTTGTGGGAGCCCAGGAGAAATTCTACATACGAGGTCCTAGGAACTTGGCATTGTCCTAGGACTTTTGGTTTTTTGCTGGCCCCAAACATTTGGTGATCCTCCTGCCTCAGCCTCCTGCATGTTGGGATTACAGGCATGCACCACCACACCCAGCTGTCCTAGGATCTGGTAGTTAACAGGACCCACTTACTTCCCCAGCCAGCTTTGCCACACCCTACTTCCTATCTCAAGGCATGAGGAAGCCTTGTCTCTGTTGGGTGGGCCTGCTCATGGGTGTTTAAAAGATCTTTTTGTAGTTGTGTGTGGTAGCACACATCTGTAAATTCCAGGATTTGGAAGGCTGAGGCAGGAGGATTGTGAGCTGAAGGCCAATTTGGACTGCATAGTGAGTTCAAAGCCACCCTGGACTACATAGCGAGACCCTGTCTCAAGCAATAACAACAACAAAACAAAGCTGTTTCTGCTTATTGGTATTTAAATTTTTCATTTTCTTGGGCTGTGGTTTTGGCATATATTGTATCTGCAGTAAGTACACATGATAACATTTCTTTTGGGGAAACAAAGTTTGAGTTTGGGGAGTTTTGTCCCAGTACTCCCTATGTTTGTGAGCTTTGTTCTGCCCTCCCTCCCAGGGAGCCTTCCCCAATTACTCCATGTCTCCCTGGGCTAGAGAAAGGTCCTCTCTGGGGTCCCAGTGTCACTTGCTCTTTCTCCAGCACAGCATTGATCACTTCTGCTTTTTGATGATTGTGGTTCTTTAGAAATACGCCCACAGGTGCTCTTGTCCTCCTCCTGTCACTTGGGAATTGGGAGAGCATTCACACCTGCCTCAGACTGAACATGGCAGAGTAACAAACAGACTTCAAGGTGGCACACAGAAAGCACCCAAAGATGCTGGGTTAAGATGAAAACTTCCTGCTGGGTGTGGTGGCACATGCCTGTAATCCCAGCACTTGGGAGGCTGAGGCAAGAGAATTGAAGTGAGTTCGAGGCCAGCCTGGGCCCCACAGTGAGTTGAGGACCAGCCTAAACTACAAAGGGAGACCCTGCCTCAAAAAACAAACAAACAAACAAACAACAAACAGATGAAAGCTTCCCACATTCAGCACGGAGAGCCCCACAGGGTCCTCCTGTCCCTGGGGCTGAGGTCTGGAGATCTCCAACTGTCTTCTTTCCCCTGCCCTCCCAGCCTGGTCTCTCCTAGATGGCAGATTGAGCCTCCTGCATTCTGTGCAGTATTAGCAGGAACTAGAGGGAAACCAATACTTGTTGGGCACCTACTGCATGCCTGGAAGTGTGCTGGTGAAGCTGCGGTGCCTCTCTTCCCTGCTGCCACTCTCTGAGGTTGTATTCTAGTCTCATCTTCAGATGAAGAAATGGGGGCTCTGAGAGGTGAAGCGATACAGGTTGCAGTCCCCCAGTAAGGCTGAGCCCAGGGATCGAGGATGCATTTCAAAACAATGCCCAGGCAAGGCCTTTCCGGGGAGGGGACATGCTGGGCTGGGAACCCAACAGTGAGAGGAGTTGGCCTGGGAAAAGCCACTCCAGGCTAGGCAGGGGAGAGGTCAGAGGCAGAAGGCCTCATGGGAGTTTCCTAGGGTGCCCAGGGGCTCTGCTCCCTGCCTTCAGGGAAGGCTGGTCCTGTCTCCTCCCCTAGGCTTCAGCTGCCCGTCTAAAGTGAGAGGGCAGAGTGGGTGACTCCCGTGGACCTTCCAGCTTGGAGAACAGGAGAGAACAGTCTGGAGGGTGGGTAATTCATGGAACATGGATGTCACTCTGCCTCTGGTGGCAGGGACATTTGCTGCAGTGGGGCTTTCCCGCAGCAGAGGGATCTTGGTGCTGCCCAGGCAGGGTGTCATGTGGCCCCAGGCCAGGCCTCTACCCCCACGGTGGCTGCTCCCAGGTACAGTTTCTGCTGACAACTCAGGACCTGGCAGAGGCTGTGCTGGAGCAGCACAGCCCAGTGCTGGCTCTTCCTTCCTTGTTCCAGGCTGCCCATCCCCACCTACAAAAGCCACAGCTGTGACACTTGGTCCCACTGGCAGGACAAAGGACTCTGTCTTCTAACAAGGACTGTGCTTACTGTGTTCTGACTGCAAATGCCTTGGCTGAGAAGTCCAGAATGTGGCATCCACCACGCCTGAATGACTGAGCAGCACAGAGTAAATAACTGTTGAGGGCATAAATGAACTCTGCATTTCACTATGGACCCTGGGTCTGATGGCCTAGGTTAGAATCCTAAGTCCCCACTGGGTGACTCAGTTTCCTCTTCTGTTGGGCTCAGCCAGAAGGCAGCATGACAAGAGGGCAGAGGTTGGGACACCTTTCCCTGCTCCCTCCTAGCTGTGTCCTTCCCAATAACCCCTTCTCCACAGCCCATCTGCCCTGGGTTTGGATACTTGGGTCTTGGCTAACAGGGCCAGGGGACCACTGAGGATGGAACTAAAAATACACAGCAAGCTGTGCAGGGGCAGAAGCGTTGGGGGCTGCCAAGCAAGACTTGGTGAGGGAGGTGGCATCCTGCTGGATCTGGGTCACATGGACATTTGGCTTGGGAAGATGGGAAGAACAGTCCAGTAGAGGGATCAGCATAGCTGAAACGTAAACACAGAGCCATTACAAGCAAAGGACCAGGAGGCTGAGTCCTGGGTCATGGGTATGCTCCTGCTGGGCTTTGGCATGGAGGGAACTGAGCTCCTCATATGGTGCCCAACACAGCCCAGTGCAGGGGACAAGGCCAGGGGCTTGGAGCTCATGATGTGTGGACATACCACCCAGCAATCTGATTTAAATGTGAATTCTAATTCATCAGACTAGCAGGCCTGACGCTGCTGTGGACAGAGAACTAAATGAGCCCCTGCTCCCTCTGAGCACGGCCTGTCCATGACCCCATTCACCCCGCATTTAGGGCAGCTTTCTGTGATGGCACCCACACTCCCGAGAAGATGATGATGCTATGAAGACTTGCAGATCTGGGTCTCTGTAGGGTATGTGGGGTTAGGGGTTTGATATCAGTGGCAACACCTCCCCCAGCCCCATCACTTGCAGATCCACCCACAGACACACACACGTGTGCAAGAGCTCAATGTGTGCAGGTCTACAAAATGAACAGTAACACCAGGGGCGATCTGGTGTGGTGTGGAGATTGTGTGTCTTCTGTGTGGGATGCTGGGAGGCCACCCGGAGCAGGGATGGCCATGTGGACACAGCCTCTCCCACCAGGAGGGATCTAAGGACCTGAAGGACCCAGCTCTCTTCTAGCCCTCTCTTCCCCTGTGATTGGCAGCATCTATGCCTGCATGGCCTTGGGCCCCTGAAGGAGCTTCTGGGAGAATGGAAATTTCCCAGCAAGGAAGGATGCTTTGGTGGTTGCCAGAGCCCATATTACTGACTTTTTTTCCTGAATTCTAGACAGCTATGGCCTTCACAGCCTGGGACACTGAGCCTGGAGAGGGGGAAACCCGGCCCCATCTCACTGTGAACTCATCACCGACCTGGGGAGGACAAGCCCAGAGTCTGGCCAGCTGGAGCTCTAATTCCTGGCCACGCCCACCCTGGCAGGCAGCCTGGATCATTTCTTGGAATCCCTACAGTGGCTCTGGGATCAACTCCTGAGCCATTCGAAAAGTAAATACTGATTGGGCACCTACTATGCACAGGCTTTGGGAGCACCGCCGTGACCTGCCTACACTGTCGTGGCCGTGTGTGAGAAGAGCTGGGTCTTGAGTATTAGAGCCACCTGGGATCATCCCCATCATCTTCTGCCCTCCAGAGTTCACACAAATCTGGGTCCTCAGAATAGCTTGAGGAGCAGGTGCTGCTATGGTACCCACTTCACAGCCGAGGGAAGCAAGGACCAGAGAATCCAATGAGCTGCCCAAGGTCACACAGCTGTCATCAGCAGCCCTGGGATTTGAACCTAAGGTATCTGAGACCACCCACTTCAAGTGTGCAGTCCAGGGGCCTTCATACACTCATGGAGTTGAGCAGCCAATTCTACAATCTAAATTCAGTACATTTTCAACATCTGGAAGGAAACTGTGTGCACAGTGGTGGTCCTTGGGAGCAGGCGACTGTTTCACCAGGAGGAGAAACTGCTCAAATAGTGGGTTTGCAGTCAGCACGCACATCACCTGGAGAGCATGGGGACCGTGCTGCTGTCCGCCCCACTATTAAAGAGAGCTCCGGGGCAGTGGCAGAGCCCAGCATACAAGCATTTGTTAGCTTCCTAGGGAGTAGGTGGGAGCTGCGCAGTCCTGTTGGGTAGCAGAGGGCAGATGCAGGAGGGTGAATGACAGGGTGGAAGTGAGGGCGGGCAAGGCACGTGTGTCTCCACCTTAGCAGTTCTTCTCCCACAGCAGCCAGGGAGCCTTCCAAAATTTCATCTGGATTGTGTCACCCTCTGCTCAGAGCTCTCCAGCGGTTTCCCTTGTAGCTTGGAACAAAACCCAGTCTTCACCGCCGCCTCCCGGCCTCATCCCACACTGTGCTTCCTTTTGCTTTCTTCCTGTCAGCCTCACTGGCTGCTGCCCTTACTGGTCCTGGCTGCACTAACTTCTGAAAAAGAGAATTAGGGGGACCTTCTTGGTGGATACTATAAAGATTTTTGTTTCCTGAGCCTGGCGTGCCTTTTTACAGTGCACGACCTATGCAACCAAACACAGCAGTCCTCCCTTAAACATGCCGAGTTTCAAGCTGACGTGATTTTGCCATTTGGGAGTGGAAAGAACATGGGCTCTGATGGCACAAGGGCACGGGCCAGCTATGTGAAGGGAGAATGACTCGGTCTAAAAGGACTGAGAAATTCCCACCTTGGGAGAGGGACAGCATTTTAAGGACTAAAGGAGACCATCATGTGCTGTGCTGGCCTCCCATTCTGACCCCTCCTTCCCCTGTGGCCCCAGAATCTCAACCTCCATTTAACAGAGAATCACTGATGTTCACCGAAGTGTGCATTTTTCTACAAAAATGCCTTTTAGATGTTTTCCCTCCTCCATCAGCATCCTGGCTGGCCCACCCTAGTCTGTACCCACCCTTTCTGCTCCTGCCCTTTCAAGCCCCCAGAGGCCACAATGGTGTCCCTTTAAAAACTAAACTTGGTCGTGGCAGCCCCACCCGCTGCCTGCTCCAGCCCTCCGGGGATGTTGTTGTTCATCCTGGGCTCAGACCCAGCGTCCACACTCAGGGAGCCTCGAAGTACCTCAATGTGACAGCCCCATCTGCCCCAGGGCGGGAAATGGCCCAGAGCTCCCATGGGGATCCACCGCAAGCCCGATAGTCTGGGCTGGAGATCTGCCTCCGCCCAGAGCTCGGAAAACATGGGGAAGCACTAACTGCACCCCAGGGAGTCCTCTGTTACCTAGCCTGGTGTTCTGCCACAGGCCCAATGGTTGGCCAGGGTGAAGCCCTCAGCCTGCAGCCCTGTGGGGCAGACGCTGAGCAGGAGACTTGCTCAACGGCGACACCGTGTATCAGCGTTTGGAGCAACAGTTCCAGTGTTGACTCCCTCCACAGGGAGACAAGAGGCTGTGCAGGATCATCTTTAACAGCGACACCTTGTGGCAGTGGGCAGAACAACAGCCCAGTGGACCGCTTGCTTTCCACCTTTCCTGCCCTACACCAACACAGGACTCAGGCGCTTTGGACCCAGAGACGGCCGAAGGAACTTGCAGCTAATGGAGGTGTGGGACACCCAAGGTGAATCACAGAAATTAAAAGAGGTGACTGTAGTGTACTGTGCATTGGCACCGAGGCCAGGCTGGTTACAACCAAGGATGGAAGGAATGAATAGATATAAAATAAGAAAAAAAAAAACCCCACACACAGAATTCACAGGAAAAGAAAGTGGTTTATTTGTTTTGTTTTTTTGGTTTTTTTTAAACGATGCCCAAAAAGAAATACTATGATCACAATTGAAATGCGATTCCTGGAGGACATGTCGTGGACTGCTTTGAGAGCAGCACAGAATCCCTGAAATGTACATCATGAACTTTTCCAATGAACTCTCCGTGTTCAGATCATTTCCAGATGAGAGCTCAGAGAGGTTTGCAAGGTCTAGTAAGGACTCCCTGGAGAAGGGGAGCCTGTCCCACAGCGCCTCAGGAACAGGTGCCATGGTCCCCACTCCAGGTGCAGCCCCAGTCACCTCAGCCAAGGTGAACATTTGCTCCAAGCAGCAGGAAATTCTAGCCAGAGATGAAATATGGTCATCAGTTGGAGGTGGACCCTCACTGGGGGAGGGGTTTGCCTTTTTTTTTTCAGTAGTGGGGATTGAACCCAGGCCCTTCACCCTGAGCTACCTCTCCAGCCCTTTTTATTCCTTATTTTGGGACAGGATCCTGCTAAGTTGATAAATTACCTAGGCTAGGTTTCAAGTCTGAGGCAGGAGTCTTAAAAACGAGCCACATTTTTAAGAAGGAAGCTTTGGGAGCCTGCCTGTCAGGGAGGGGTGAGCAAAGTGGGGCCTGTGGGCTGCCAGAAAGGCAGAAGCCCATGGGGATACTCGCACAGGGCCTTGCTGGTGAGTCCACACATCAGTGGCTGCTGATGCCCAGGCATCTGTAGGCAGCTTTTTTTTTTTCTTTTTTCTTGGGCAGCTGTTTCCTCTTCTGGTGTGATGTGCAGCCCCCACCCCTGGCTGTGGTGGTGGAGGCTTCATGTGTCATACAGCCTCACAATGGCTCAAGGGAGCCCCTGTTCCAATCAGGGCTGCGAAACACTTCCCTTTGCCCTTCTGCACCCTTCAGAATATTCCGAAGTGAAGAAATGGAATTGTTCCGTGGGGCCCAACCTGGAACTTGGTGAAAGGGGGAGCGTGGTGGCTGTTGGCTCTGCTTGGCTTTTTCTCCAGTCTCTCAGCCCCCTCAGCACAGTGGTCTAAAGAATTAGGGGCTGACTATTGGTGTTGGGGGCCAGGGAGAGGGAGGACCTGGCTGATGGGTGTCGCATGAGAGCCACAGGTCGTCAGGAAAGCTGAGGACCAAGGGAAAGGACTGGTGTAATGGCTTTTTGGTGGGGGTAACAACTTCGTGGGATGTGCTGAGTTGAAGGGGTAGAGCAACTGCAGAGGCTTAGAAAGACTCAGGAACCTGGAAGTGGCACCAAGGTGTCACCAAGGTGGGGACTGGGAAGCTGGTGAGTGATGGGGGATAAGAGGGAAAGAGACGAGGCCATGGAAGGAGTCCAGACTTCTCCAATAACTAAGGAAGGGACAGGAGAGCCCTGGGGGAGAAGCGAGGAATGGGGCAGAGGAGCCACAGAAACTTCCGGAAGAAGGCGGCCCACTGAGGGATGTTAGTGTCAGATGCTGCCAGAGGGCAGGCTGGGCAGACGAAGAGCGGCTCCTGATCTGTGTGTAAATCTGAGTGACACTGACTCCGTTCTCCACCCCGAAGTGCCCAGCAAGGTGCTGGATGCAAGGGAGGTGTGCAGCATGCACGGGCCAGGTCAATAAAGAGGCACTCTGGTCACTCAGCAGGCTCCGTGTGTGCCGAGTGGTGTGTGGGAAGAAGGCACAATGGTTAAATGCAGGGAACCCCAGCCTGGAGTCTGGACTTGGTGCAGTGCAGCGTGACTTTTCTGAGCCCTCACTGTCCCCGTTTACTGACAGCACTGCAGCCCAGAGTTGTTGCGAGGGTAGAAGGTGCCTAATGCACAGCCGGGCACAGAGGAAGCATTGCAAGATAGGTAAGCACTGCATGGGACATTTGGTGACAGGGACCTTGGGGACTCACCTGGTAAGAGCGAAGCACCAGGTTGCGGAGCTGGATCCCATTGGTCACTGGGAGAGGAAAGCCTTTCTGCAGCCTCTCTGTGACAGAGACAGTGAGAAGTGAGCAGGAGAAGTGCAGAGGTGGCAGAGAGCCTAGGTGGGCACCTTCTGGAGGTGCTTACACACCCAGATAGGGCTGCCAGGGCACACGTGCTCGAGAGGAAGGTGACCTTAGAGCCTGCACCCCCACTCTATGTCCCTTGTTGTCCCCAAGCCCACTTCCAGGATTCATGCAGGCCCCCTCCCCATGACTGCCCTCCCCAGGGCGTGGCTCTGCTGGCCGTGGTATAGACAGAGGGTCTGCATGTGAGCACCAACTCCCTCAATGCTGAGGGTGAAGCCAGAGGTGGCAGTGGCCAGGGGCCAGCCCCCCCCCCGCCCCCTTGTGGTGTGAAGCTCGGAGAATTCTGTCCTGTCTCCCAGGTCATTATGGAGCCACACTTGCCCAGGAAGGAGGCTAGTTCATAGTCTACATAATAATTTGCTGGCTTAATTTATAATTTCTAAATGTCCAAGTCACGCATCTATATGTCTACACCTCTGTTGGTCCCCTTGCCCCTGGTGCTCAAAGGTTAGGGGTGGGCCTGCCTGAGGCTCCACTAGTGTGGTGACTGTGAGTGCTCAGCCAAGGGTGCCCACTGCCATCCTTCTCCCAGAGTTGGAAAAGGACTCCAGAGCCACGATCGGACCCCAGCTGCCTGCTCTGTAAATCACTTAACCATTTGCATCTTTCATTTCCTCCCATCAAAATGAGAGGTACTCATAATCCCCCATCTTGTGGGATTGTCGTAAGGACTGCCTGAAATAATGGATGACTTCTACCCAGGTGAGTTCCCTTTCTGTTCCATCCTCTTTCTAGGTCATATGGCACCTGAGGTTTAACTGAGGCAGGTACTCAGTGCCTGGAGGCAGTCACCCCATCCCCTGACCCCATTGTTGAAAATCATGATTTCACAGAGCTCCTTACCATTGACCTTGGGAACCGCCACCAGGGGCACTATGTAGTTCATGGCATCCTGCAGCAGCTCCACCTGGAGGACAGGAAGGGGACAGAGTCATGAGGGATTGTGGGTCGGCTCTGGGACATCCTCCCTGCCCCCCTCACCCTGAGCAACCTCCCAGGCAGGAGAACAGCTGTGGTGGGCCCTGTGATGATGGAAACTCAGCAGCCTGGCCCAGGCCATCCGGTGACCTCTGCTGAGCTAAGGTTCCCCGTGCAGTTGCATGCTGGATTGTGTTACCCTCTACAGGGATGATGGGGAAGGTCATGGGGCAGGGTTTAAATCTGAAAACCTTTGTTTAAAAAATACACTCTCTCAGCACTGTAGAGATGGAATCAGCCTATTTTATGGCAATTCAGGCACACTCTTCAAAGGCCTTAAAATGTGTGTCATTTGGGCCAGCAAGCATGGCTCTGAGTGTTTGTCGTATGGAAATTATGTGGGGTGGAGGCAAATTGAGATGTTTGGAGGATACTTGTCCGTGTTATCACTTTAATGTGAACAATAAACTAAGGGCAACCTACATGTCCAACAATAGGGAAGTCATTGAGGGGGATAGTGGAACTTTGATACTAGGAGATAATACGCAACTGTTAAGAATGACACTGTAGAAATATAATTATCAACAAGAGATATGCTTGATATATATTTAAATGAGGAACACGAGGCTGTTTAAAATCACCTAATCCCACTTTTAAAATTAGATGGGCATATCAAAAGGTCAGGAGGATATATTCGAAATTATGAACTAAGTGGTGAAAATATGAACGGTTTTTATTTTCTTTGTTCGGCAAATCTGTAGGTTCTTCGTGCTCAATGGTACATATGCTTTGCTTTGGCAATAATATATTTTTTTCAAAATAATGTGGAACTGTGAAGATTATTGCCCATAGTGGTGACATTTACAACTTGTAAATATGTATGTTCTGTTTCTGGAACAATTGAGTTTCCTTCCCCGGGCTATAATTCCCTGGGTTCACCACTGTGTGCCCTTCTTCCTCTGAGTCCTAGGAAATGCATATGTTTATTTTCTGCAGAAGCAGAAGTTAGTTACTGACTTAGGCAGGGCCCTGAGGAAGCCAGGACACCAAGAAACCCATGACAACACTGTGAGGTGGCTTCTGGCCTTCTGTGTCCTGTGATCTCACCAGATGGAGAGAGGTGGGCTGGATTCTTATCAGACTTTGCTGGGAGGTTGGACAGCCTGACTCCATGCTGGGTGAGTTCAAGTCACTCCCTTGGGGGGAACTTGGGAGCATCTCAGGGATCTAGGGAGATGGCCTCCAGGGAAGCAGAAAGTGGGGTTCAAACAGAACCCAAGGAGAGTCAGGTACATGGAATGAGACTCTGGACAGATCAATGGGGTGGCTTTGGATGTAAGTCACAGGGTAGGCGCCCTTAACAGTAGGTGACTAAGAACATTTGAGTGGCTAATTATGAGGATGGCTGCCTCTCAGCGCCTGGGCAGCACTAATGACGGCAGGAATTCCCAGGGAGGGGAGCTGTCTACTTGGACCGGGGGGACATCTGCTCCTGTCCCTCCAGCTGCCCTTCCTCATCCTGGTGTGTGGCTCTGCCATTCACCCGGCTGCTCAGCCTAAACTCTCGATGCCATTGTTCTTTTTCTTTTTTGCTAGGCAAGCACTCTTCCACTGAACTACACCCCAGTCCTTAGGTGTCATCTTGCTGTTCCTTCCTCTCATGACCCATATCCAATCTTCACCAAGTTTTGTCTAAAGCAGCTCCCAAAATCCATCCCCAAGCCACTGTCTTTTCTCCTTCCTGGTGAGTCCCAGCCCCACCCCACGCTCCTCAGGCCTGATTCTTGTGCTTGTCATCAGTCCCCTACCCCTACAGGATCTTTTCCAAAGGTAGAAATCAGAGTGTGTTGCTCCTCGCAGGATCCAGGTCTCTGGCTGCTCACTGCCCTTGGAACACAGGCTCAAAGGCCCTGCTGACCAGCCCAGCCCACCCCCAACATGTCCCTTCCTGTGCCCCCACTCCAGCCACTCTGGCTTCTTCTGTCCCTGAAGCACAACAAGCCTGTTCCCACCATAGGGTTTTTGCCTCTGCGGGTCCCTCTGTGGGCTCCTTCTCACCTGTCAACCCAAACATCACCTCCTCAGAGACCAGAGCATCTCACACTTACTTCTTCCCTCACTTTCCCCCGTCCCCATTGTTTTCCATAGCTTTGATCATGACGGGATTGCTCTTCATTTTCTACCATCCTGTCTCCCCACTACCATGTAAAGCTCAGCGTTACCCACACCTGGAAGAACCCAGCACAAAATATTCGCTCAATAGTCATAAACTTGTTCATTCATCAAGCATTGGCTGAGCAGACTTTCTGTACCAGAGTGTGCATACCTAGTCCCACTGAGAAACCGCACCCTGCTGACTTGAAGGCCAGGCAAGCCTGAAGTTCAGAGAAGGCAAGTGATCACCCAAGGCCTTACCGTCAGTGAGCCCAGAGCAGGGGTCCCACCTCTGATCTCTCTGTCCACAAAGCTCCTCTCACCACTAATTCACAAACAAATTACATTCAAATGAGCCAGTGGCTCCTGGGTGATGCCAGGAGCCTGTGACAGATCCTGCAAGGTCAGGGCAAGGATGAAGCTGCCAGGGGCTGGGACTCACCGGGAAGGTGCCAACATTGGAGTGTTTCAGTTTCAGGAGCAGCCTGTGACAGGAAAAGCGAGACTGAGACCACAGCAGCCAGGCCGGTACACACGTCCACGGCCTGGTTCCCGTGGTGTCCTCCCCATGTCCCTTCCTCCGGCCACCCGCGCTCTGGGTGCTTCAAAGCCCACGCTGAGCCCTGGGTGCAGTCCGCCCCTAATGTCACTCTTTAGGCTTGGGCTGTGACCGTGCTGCCCAGCAAGAGTGTCCCCCGGTCTTGTGCTGGAAACACTGGGGTTGTGGCCCTCAGGTTCTCCAGGAAAACAGGAGGCCACCACTCGGTGACAACCTGCTGGGGGTTGAAGCCAGCACAGAGGACAGCAGAGCCAAGAAATGGAGTCAGACCCTGAGGACATCACTCGGGCACCTGAGCCACTCTTGCCTGAATGCTTCGGACTTTTCAGTCACCTGAGCCACCCCTCCACCCCTCCATGGCCTTGACGGTATTTTAGCAGTAATCTCAGAGAAAAGGGGAAATGTAGCCTACAGCACTCCAAGAGCCAAAGACCACTGTGTCCCATTTTACATTTGAGGAAACTGACACTCAGAGAGATCAAGTGACCTGCCCAAGACCACACAGCTAACGACTAGCAAAGCAGGATTTCACACAGGTCTCCTGGACAGCAAAGCCCTGTTGTCTCCAATTATTCTTGGAGTTTAAAAACTTGCTGTTGTTTAGCAAGAGTCAGTGGCCCCTGGATCCTGGCCCCATGCATTCCCAGACCCTGTCCTCAGCCCCTGCCCACCTCAGAGTCTGTGCTCAGCCAGAGCCCAGCTGTCTCCTCCCCGGCCCCTCCATTTGAGGCCTGTGGGTGTTTCAAGGCAAATTAAACCGAAGCAGTAACACTTGTCACAACGGTGCCAGGAGAAGTGAACAGCATGTAAACCTCAGGGGCTGATCTCAAGGTTAAGGACAGCTCTGCACCGGGGAGAAGGTGGAAAGGGGCAGGGATGCGGGTCAGGATGCATTTCAGACAGCAGAACGTGATGAGGAGGCAGACACCAGGTCTGACTGTCGGGGTCATCACACCGCTTTCTGTCTCTCCCCACCTCGCTCTCTTTGCCTGTTTCCCTGTTAACTCCTCTCGCCTCGCCATCTGACTCAATCTCTCTTGCTCTTTCCTGCTCCCCTTCCTCTGTGACTCTCCATCCCTTTCTGAGCGTCTCCCTCTTTCTATGTCCCTGCATTTCTCTTTCTGTATGTGTCCCTCTTTCCCTTTTGTTTATGGAGCACTTGTTATAGCCCGTGAAGTGTTCCAAGCATCCCACACGTATTAATAGCTCACTTAATCCTCAAGATGGTACTGTTGGTGGAGAATACTTACTGGGCTCATTTCACAGTTGAGGAAACTGAGGTTTGGGGTTTGTCACTTGCTTTTCAAATGCAGGTAGCCTGCTATCAGAGACCACCCTCCTGACCACACCCTCCAGTGCTGGGATTCAAACCTGGGTGACATGGGTCCCAAGTCTCCCGGCAGGGGACAGGGCCTGAAGTCCCAGGGAGGGGCCAGAAGCTGACTTGGGATTTCCTGGTGCCAAGAAAGGCCAGGGACACAGGGCACGGTCCACTGTTGTACTCAGTGGGGATGGGTTCTCAGCAGGCTTTTCCCTACCAGGAGTCCACTTGGGACAGACAGGTGTCCCAGAACACAGGACTTTCAACGCTAAAGCTGGGACACTCCTGGGCAAACTGAGATGGCAGGTCACAAGGTCACAAGCCACTTCATCTCTGAGCTTCAGTTTCACTGTCTGAAAACCCAAGCTAAAACAGGACAGGTGAACCAAAGGACATAGTGCTTGGTACATAGGAAGGCTCCTATTCCCCTGTGGCCCCCTGGAGCACATAGGCAGTCCTCATTCTGTCCCCACAGGCCACTTACCTGTCCACCGTAAGATTTCCCACGAGCCTGTCAGAGTTGGCACTGACCTTCAGATGTGCGTTCATGCTCTGCAAAGTGACAGCTCGGGTGACCGCCCTGACCAGGTGATTGGCCTGGCCAGCTCCTCAGAGCCTGGGAGGGTGGCCCACAGAACCCAAGGAGCAGGGAGACTTTGCTTTGTGGCTGCTGAGGAGTCCTGGACTGTCACCAGGATTCTGGGAGACCTCTGAGTTCCTGAGCCACTCGGGAGGGTGACATGGGGCAGATCTGCAGTTAAGAGAAGCCTTATTCCTGGTCATTCACTCACTGATCCATTCAGAAAATACCCACTGAGGGAGAATTGAAGGTGCTCACCTCAGCTTTCTGACAGTCTGACTTTAAGTGACCCACTCAGAACCCATTTGATCTGCAAAGTGGGGATAACAGGTCTCGCTTGAAATTGGGCCCCTGAGCACCTCTCACGGGGAGAGAGTCGGGCCCACTCCCAGCGGCCACCGTAGGTGCCAACAAATGTCTGGCAGTGATGGGATGATCAAATGAATGAGCAAGTAAGTCAACAATGGAATGAGAATTTGAATAAGTAAAGGATTAAACAAATCCACAAATGGAGGAATAAGTAAAGATATGCACAGATGAATAAATGAGCAAATTCACAAATGAAGGGCCAATACAGCAAGAGTATAAGTAAAAGAATGCATGAATAATTGAATAAATGAATGCATGTAGGATCCAGAAAAAGTATAGCATATTTCAAGTCAGCAATCTAATGAATAATTGAACGAATTAATAATTAGATGAATAAATGAATGAATGAGGAAATATGCAAATGCATAACGGACTGACCAAAGATCTGAGTGAATGAATTGGAGACAGTACACATATTTCAAGCCAACGAAGGAATGAATAATTGAGTGAATGAAAAAGTGATTGAATGAATAATTGAATCATAAATAAACAGGTACATGGGGGTGGCTGTGTGCCTGTGGGACTCTGGCCGCTTCGGTCTTGGGCTCCGAATCCCCCTCTCTAGGCTTGAATCCCCTGAGTTCAAGGACAGTGCTCCCACCAGCCCACACCCAGGAGCAGTTTACCATGCCAAGCAGGAAGAGGGAGGCCAGGGAGGAGTTGGGGAGGACAGCAAAGGCCTGGACCTCCAGGTTAGGGGTGAAGGTGAGGCCAGTGGGCTCCATGACCAGGTGTGGTGGCGAGGAGGTGGAGAAGACAAGCTGCACATCCATGCTGGGGAACATCTGGGAGACCTACACACAGTGGACACAGCCAACAAAAGAGGTTGTCTAATTAAAAATGGTTTCCAGTCTTGTCTTGCCCTTCCCTTGCAGAAATACCTCCAATGTCTCCCTAAGCCTCTCGGAATAAAGCCAAATGACTTCATGGCTGCCATCTGGGACCCTGCTGACCTCATTCCATTCGCCTCTAGCCCTTGTCCTCCATCGCTGGGCACAGAGGACTCTTGCTGCTCCTCAAATGTGACAAGCTCTCTTGCCATCTGAAACCCTTTGCATTCTCTGTTCCTTCTAACCAAATGCTTTTCCCTCCATTCCTTCCTAGCCTGGCTCTTTCCCTTTCTCGAAGCTCATATTTCACCTCCTCAGAGAGCAGTAGTAGCTTCCAGGGGAACAAAGGAGGGCCTTGGTGACTTCTCTCTTCTCTCCCAGCCTTTCATCCTCCCCAGGTAAACCCAGCCTGAGTAAAAATAATGTGACTATAATGCAAATGCTGCTCCTCTCCCCACCCCAGCCAGACCTTCCCTCTGAAGACATTTTTTAGAGCTGCCACCATGAGAGAAACTGTCATAAATGGAATGTTTGTGTCTCCTCCCCTTAAATCCACACATTAAAGCCCTAGCCTGCCATGTGGCTGTCTGTGGAGGTGGGCTCTAGGGCAGTGAGGCTAAATGAAGCCAAGGGGGTGGGGCCCTGAGCCGACACAGTCAGCATCCTTTTAGGAAGAGACACCAGAGCTTCCGGCCTCTGCCCACCCCCCACACTGAGGAAAGGCCCTATAAGGACACAGAGAAAGGGTGGCTGCCTACGAGGCCAGAAGACAGCCCTCACCGGAACCTCAATCTTGGTCTTCCAGTCTCCAGAACCGGGAGGAATAAATGGCTGGTGTTTCAGCCACACAGCCGAGAGGACTATGGTCCAGGCCTTCCCTGTGCCCTTTGTCTAAAGCAGCGGCACCCAGCTGTTGGTGTCACTTGTCATAGATAGTGCTGTTTTTGTCATTGTCTCATGTACCCGAGGCAGGCATACGGTCTCTTTTGCCGAGTCCCCAGCACAGGGCTCCAGGCACATAGTGGACATGTGTGGAAGGGATGAGGCCCTGGTGACCACCTTCGCCCTCAGTCAGCCCAGGGTCTCTGCTTGCCCCTTCCCTTTGACACAGCCCAGTCCTCTCCAGGAGCCCAGGATGACAGAAGGAGTGAAAGCTCGTTCCCACCTGGGGTAGGAATTTTCCAAAGAAACTGGTGGTCAAGTGGAATTTGGATCTCTTTGGCAGCTGTAGAAAGAGGAAAGAGTTTTGTAGATCAGGAGGTGGAGGCAAATGCTGCTTGGGGTGAGAGACTGAACGTGCCACCGAACTGTACATGACAACAGCCTGCATCCCTTCAACCTCTGCAGCCCTATACCAGGGGGCGAGGGCGTGGTGAATGAAGCCTCCCCTTCATTTGAAGCACCATCTCCTGCAAACCAATCACAGGACATCCCACCTCAGTTAGCCCACCTCCACACCCACAGCCCCCAATCAGGGCCTCTCCAGGCCTCCTACTCATCACTCCGAGCTCGGGCCCCTGCCTCTGAACGCTGGAGGGCAGCTCCCTGTCTGGACAGGCGGCCTCTGCAGGCACACACCCGTGGTCCACACAGGAGAATCTACACAGGGCGGGAGCCGGGCTGGGATCCGGTGGTACGGTACCCAGATTCTGGGGAGGAGGGTTGTTTCTTCATTGTACAGATGGGTAAACTGAGGCCCAGGGTAGCAGCCATGAACATGTGAAAGATAATGAGTTGGCCGAGGAGGACAGAGAGGCGAGGCTGAGGCTGTGTCACAGCCCGGCACGTGAGTGCATGCTCCTGTCCTCCCACATGCGGGCACAGCTCTGCATCGCCTCGTGGGCACTGCTACTTCACTTCATCCTTCTGGCGCCCTCTGAGGGGCAAATGAGGAAATTGCAGTTTCCAGAGGCTAACTGGCCCAGGCTCACCGGCCCAGAAAGGGATGGGACCAGCGTTCAAACTCAGGCCAGCCTGAGTCTTGGCTCTAGAGTCAACATCTTAGATAAAGCTTCAAATCCACAAGGTCTGCTAGACTCCAACCCGGTGCTCTTCCTGGGGGTTTGCCCCTGGCTGGGCCTTACAGTGCTGTTCGTGAGGGTCCATTTCAAAACCCCAGCCTGTTGGAACACAAGCCCAGCTGTGTTGAAGAAGTAGTCGGACATGCCCAGGTACACCATCCGGTCGTGCCCAGGGGGAATCGCCATCACCGGAGGGTCAAAGGGAGGTGAGCTGCGGTTGGCCTGTCTGAAAAACTCCCCCTAGGGGAAGAGACAGTAGAGTGAGCCAGGGGGATCCTTCAGGAATCATAATTCAACATCCCTGTCTCAGGAGAAGCCAGCTGGGGACACCTGTCTGACAGAGGAAAAATTGATGACCCTAAAATGATAATAGCATCACTAGCCTTCTGGGTGATGTTGCCAAGTGTGTTTCTCTGCCTACCCCTCGCTGTACAGCAGGGGACACTGAGGCACTGGGAGATGAAGTGACCCACCTAAGGTCACACAGCTGGTAAGTGGCAGAGCCAGGCCTTGAACCCAAGCATGCAGAGTCCAGGGCACATTCCTAGCCGCACCGTCGGCTTAGCCTGCAGCTGCTGACAGTGTGGGGCCTATAAAGAGCAGCCAGACTCTGCATGTTGTTTCCTCTGCCCAGGTAGCAGAATGGAAAGGAGCTAAAGTTTTATGAGTGCTGTGTTTGTTTTAAACTGACACTGTGGTGTTTTTTGTTTGTAGGCTGTGTGTGTGTGTGTGATGTTTCTAATGAGAAATCTGGGAACATGCCAAAAAACAATGTTAACCTCACAAAAGCAAAGCAAAGCCATAGGTGGATACGTACAGTAGGATACCACATACGTAAAGTTTGAAGGACCATAAAAAGTATAAAAACACAGGCAAGAAGGACACATGCGAATCCCAGCATGTTGCAGAGGAAGCTGAGGCTTGTTCCTAAGAACAAGCTCAAATTGGGCAACTTAGTGAGAACTTATCTCAAAATGAAAAAGGACTGGGATGTAGCTCAGAGAGAAGGCCCTGAGTTCAATCACCAGCGTAAGAAGAAGGCATGGGGCGGGTGGGGTGGGAGGCAGAGGAAGCATGCCTTGGTCAGCATGGGTGCCTGGTGAGGAGCAGGAAGGTGTGGAAAGAGGGCCCAGGAGTGATCACCACAGTGTTTTACTTTTTGAAAAATCAGAAGCAAATATGACAAAATAGTAACGTTTCTTAAATCTGGGTGGTGGGTACCTGGGTCTGTAAAATTCCCTGCACCTGTGAGGCATATCTTATTTATAATTAACGACCATGACACCCATCCTATGGAATACCATGCAACTCTTAAAAATGATGAGAGGGACCTATTTCCTGGTCTGAAACCACCTTCAATGCACATTATTAGGTGAGAAACACAAGCAGAAGGACAATGCGCATCCATCCACGCACAGAGCCTCAGCAAAATCTTGATGGGTTTCCACCTGTGTGTGTGCGAATGCTTAGAACCTGGGACTTCGGAGACAACACGTCAGTGTCACCCCCAGGCAGGAGCCCAGAGGTGACAGCCCTTCTCATTCGCTGGCATAATTATATTGTTTGAATCTTTCACTCTGCTCTATCCCTGAGCTGCGCATGTGGTGTGTAGTGTGTGGTCTGGGCAGTAGAGACTGGAAGGAAGCAGGGGAGAGCTGTGCGGATGTCTGGCTGCGGGGAGGACCCTGAGCACAGGGAACTGCACATTCAAAGCCCTGGACAAGAGAGGCACAGAGAGTGTCAGAAACGGCAGGGAGGCCAGTGTGACTGGAGGTGGGGAGGGAGGGGAGAGGTGGGGCGGAGAGGGGGCGAGGTCCTGCGAGGTTGGTTTTGGAGGCCGATGGGGAGCCCTGAGTCTGAGGCAGAGGTGTGAGCCTCACCTTCATCTGCAAGGTCAGGCTGTCAGCCGTTGCTACTGGAGGAGCCACCAGACTATAGTCGATGTCAGCCACCTTGTCTATTTTGGATGTCACTAGAGACAAAGAAGACAGAGCATGAGATGGCCTCCATGACAGCATCCCTAATGCTGGGCTGAGACTGCAGCTCTGGCCCCATCGAAGCTCCTCCAGGGAGGCCTCCTGGACTCCCCTCACAGGAAACAAATCCATACTCCACATCCACCGACGTCGTCTTAAACCCTTCTTCCAACAGCGCCAAGACGCATGGCTAAAACACAGGGCCAAGGGGACAGAGTCCTGGGTTTGAATGCAACTCTGTGCGACCTTGACAGTCCTTGTACTTCCCCAAGCCACTTTTTGTTAGATGTAGAGGGGGAATGGTGCCCGGAACTCCCCAGCTGCTGGAGGACTCCGTGACAGGTGCTCGCTCCACACCCTGCACACACACAAACTCAGGAGCAAGGAGGGTACCGGGCTGTTTGGTCCCTGCCAGATGAATGAGTGGCTGCTTTTGCATCTTGTTTCCGGATTCACCACAAGGGCCTGGCTCAATGCCAGTGGCCCATAGCCTGTTCTGCCCAGGCCAAGGCCGGGCACGCCCACCCAGCCTCCCTCCCCACCCCCTCCTACCCCTTCCCTCCTCCATCCCCACTCAACCTCACCTGGAAGAGTCCTGATGTAACGCTGCAAGTTGGTGTTCACAGAATTGCTCAGTATCTTGCAGATCTAGGGAGAATGGAAGATGTGATCAGCAAGAGCTCCCCATTGCCCTCTGGAGAAGCCCATCCTCATCTCTCTTCCCAGACAGGCTCAGGTGATTCCTGGAAGCTGGGGTGGTTTGTTCATGGACAGCCAGGCCAATGAATGGCCTTTTCATGGCAGAGGAGGCGGGCTGGGGGGGGCGTGGTTCGAGTGTGGAGAAGGTTGGAGAGCGCCAGCTGGTGCCAGTCCCTCATCCCAGTTCCAGCTGCAAGGAAAGGGCCACAGCAGGGCCCTGGTCAAAGCCCAGCTTGGAGCTCCGTGCATGGCATGTGCTCTGGGTGGGAGCATCAGAAAGGACATGTGGCAGGGGGGATGGAGACAGTGTCCCTTGCCAGGGGACAGTGGAGGGGCTCAGTGGAGGGGCAGCACACCGGGGGCTGGCTGTGGGTAGGGTAGCAGCCCTCTCCGATCTCTCGGGGGATTCCTCAGTAAAATGCAACATGCCTAGCTTGGGAAGCCGGATTTGTGGTTTCACGGGGCTGTAAGGGCTGCCAAGGGGGTCAGGGACAAGAGCAGAGGTATCCCTAGGGGTGGAGTGACATGGCCCCCAGGACTCTCCTGCCGTGGCCATTGGGAAGGTGCAGCCCCTCTTACCTTGTTGTCCAAGAGCTTTCGGATCAAAGAATCAATTTTCTTTTGGAAGAGACGGATCAGCCACCTGGAGGTTGACATGGAGGGACATATGTGAGGCTTCCAGGTGTGCCCAGGCTGGATTCTGGATGCCACCCCCTCTGGGAAGCCATCCTCCCTCCTCCAAAGAGGCCTTGGCGCCCTTGTCCCTGGGCTCCAGGCATACACAAGCCATATACCTTTTCCTGCAGTTGTCAGTGGGATTCTTTTGCTGCATGATCACGTCCTGACCAGGCCCGGTCTTCCGCCTCACCTCCCTCCGCACCTGTCTCTGTACACCACCCCCACAGGCCTGCCTTATGCTCTGTAATCTGTGCTTCCTCCTACCACAGTGTCTTTGCACAGGCAGTGCCCTCTGCCTAGAACACTCCCATCCCCAACAGCTACCTGATTAACTCCTACTTATTTTCATTTCAATTCAAATGTCATTCATGGAGGAAGAACTGGGCAGCTATCAGGTTGGACCTCATCATCCTGCTCTATGTGTTCACAGCACTTTGAACCTCTATTTCTTAGTTCTTATCTCCTTTTGTAATTACAGATGAGCCATTCACTAATTCAATGTTGGGAGTAATGCTTGTTTTCCCTGCTGGGTCATGTGGCTGACAGCCTGGGTCAGAGAGTCCTGGACTGAGACACTCACAAGCTGCAGAAGCAGGTTACTGGTCTCCTCTCTGTGCCTTGGTTTCTCCCTGAAAGGGACGTAATTATAGACCAACTTCACCGAGTCATGTGTGGACTGCATGTGGTACAAACGTGCTAAAACTGCTTGGCACACAGGGAGCCTCCAATCAAGGCCACTTAGGTCCAAGTTCGTATTGGTGGCTGCTGTTCCTGAGTGGGATGTGCAGCCTGGTGAGCAGGTGCTTCCGGCAAATGTTTATGGAAGGGCTGGATGTGGGCTTCGATGAGTGGGGAGGATGGGTCATTTAGTGCAGAGAAACAGTGCTTTGCAGGAGCAGGAGGCATGAGTTCTCAGTGCCAGGCTAGGACCAACAGGAAATCAGGCCTGGGGCCAGGACGGCCTCACCTGCGGCTGTGGCCTGGCATGGTGGACACCGCTCCACTAGGTCCCTCCCTGCAACCACAGCCCAGGAGAACCTACCCCCACTTGCTGTTTGAGACTTTCAGGCTGACACGGTTGATGTAGTCCCTGCAACTGGAGCAGGCAACAGTGATGTGGCCAGAGGTGGGGTCACTGCCCAGCTTTAGACTGGCTGAAATGGAGATACCTTCTACTCTCAGGACGAAGTTGCCACCGGCTTTGCTGAAGGGAAACAAAAAAAGGTGAGTCAGAGGGAGCACTCCGGTCCCCACTGCTGCTCACACTTCACAGTGATGCCAGAAGGTGGGTCTCGCTGTTATCCCCACTGTAGGGCAGAGGCGGTGGCAGAGAAGATGCAGCTTGTCCAGGGTCACACAGCACTGAGCGGTTGAGTCAGGCTGCCAACGTGAGGTCCGAAGCCTTGCCTGCCTGGCAGACCCGATTCTCACCCCCTACCTTGCTCTCTGCATGGTTTTGGGGCATGTTTCTTAACTTCTCTGAGCTTCCATTTCCTCAGACCCTAGGCCGGCAGGCAGACACCAGAATGAATGTCTCACTTTACCACTAAAAATGTGAGTGTTTGAGGCCAAAGACTTTAATCCTTACAGCACCATCAGTTAACGAAGGAGATTAAAGCTCCTTTCTCAGGGAGGAAATGAGTTTGGGTAAGATTGGACCTGAAGGGACTTTGTCAACTCCTCTATAGCGTGGTGAAGTATTGTTATCATTTTTTGATCAATGAGTGAAATGCAAGTGAAGTAAGTGAAATGATAGCTCGGTCAAGGGTTCTGCAGCTCTTACTGTGGGGAGAAGGCCGGGAGGCTGACCCACACCCCTCTCTACCCAGTGTGGCTTCTCCTGCATTTTCTCCCCTGCTTTCCCAAGCAAAATATGTTCTCAAAGTGAGATTCAATCCGAGCCATCATTAGTACTGGGCAGGGCCATTGTGGGGAGGCCCCAGTGTTAGACTCAAACTTGTAGCTTGCACGATCTGCCCCAATTCATCATGCCTCCCTGGGCCTACACTCTTGCCATTTCCTGTCATAGGGGAGGGAATGCATCTCTTTGCCCTTGGCTTGGGGTTGGCCATGTGACATAATTTGGCCGATGCTACATGAGTAGAAGTGACCATGGGCCTTTTCTGAAACCAGGCCTTCAGAGGACCTGCATGTTCCTGTTGCCCCTTTTTGCACCTTTGCTGTCACCAAGGATATGCTCTGGGTAGCTCACAGGTCCAAAGAAAACAAGCAGAGCCTCTTCAGCTAGGCCCACCCTAGATCGACAGAACCCCAGTTGACACACAGAAGATAAGATGATAACATGATTGTTGCTTAAGCTACTGAGGTTGGGATGTTTTGTTACACAGAAATAGCTAGCTGACAAAGAGAATAAATGAAAGGCCCTGCTCAGGCTCACTTTTCCCTTCCAAGCCACATGTATGAACTCAGCCTTGCCATGTCCTATACTGGGATGTGGATCAAGGGTTATGCTGACTCTTAGGTGATAAATTCTTCCACAAAACCTCTGGTGACAAGAGGTGGTGGGCAAGGCAAAAGTTGAGCATTTCTCACACCCTGGCTCTAATCCCTTCCAAATAGTACCAAGAGTTCACCCCACAAACCCCAAGCATGCAGGCGTACAGGAAACCCCTTTTGGCGTTCCATTTTCCATTGATAATGATATTGTTGTTGTCGGTGGAGAGTTGAAGGCCCACATCAGGCTGCAGTCTTAGTTGGGGACTGGGAAGCTGGAATTTGAGGACCTTCAAGCTGCAAAGGAGAAAGGTTTGTTCAGCTTTCTGGATGTCTTGCCCAGGACTTGGTTAAGGCCTTCAGCACATCCACTCCACGAGGAGCCAGAAGTGCTGAGAGCAGCCTTGGCAAGAACATGGGCATTGGTGTGGTTTGGTCTTTGAAGGCAGACACATCTGCATGTGAATCCCCCACTTCCATTGCATTTTCCTGGGCCTATCATTTTACTACCCTGAGCCTCAGTTTCCCATTTGCAAAGTGGGCACAGTCATCTCCATCTTCCAGGCTGTGTGACTATTGTTGAAGATAACAAATGCTAAACTCCTGACTACAGGCTCTATAAAGGGCCAGAGTGTGTCTGTTTTGTTTCATTATTGCACCCCAGAGGCTGCTGTGTCAGACACAGAGTAGGTGTTCAGAATATCTGCTGAATGAATGGGGTAAGGAATTCTGCAGGGGACATTTGTGGGTTTTCTGTCTGTAGCTGCTTCTTATGGTGACAGACCTGCCATTCTCCTTTGGGGAAGCTGCTCCCCCTGAGTATTGAATGTCACTCCCAAGAATGTTGACTTTACTGTACCTCTATTTTCTGGGGTGGATCTTGTGACCCAGGCTTAACCAATCTGTTCCTTTGGCCTCAGTGATTGGTTCAAGGGTATGTATATAACCTATGGGCCAATCAGAGTGATCCTGAGGGCTTCTGTTTGTGTTGAAAGGAGGAAGTGCTCTCCTTCCAGGACTCAGTGCTGATATCAAGCAAGAGTTGCTGGTGGCTGTCTTGTCTCTGGAGGGCCACTCTGCTGAGAATTAGCTTCTCCAAGGAAGCAATGTTTAGAGGTGGCAAGAGAGATACAGGGTCAATGGGCTTTCAACCTGGCTCAAACTGAACCCAAAGCCAGACTATTCCAGGGACTTTTTAGTCACATGAGCCAATGATTCTGGCTTAGGCCATTTGGGATTAGATTTTCTGTCCTTGAAACTGCCCTGAAGTCCTAACTGATAAATGAACCATGCACAGAGTTTTACAGAGTTCATGACGGCTCCCCAGGGAGTCAGGTAGATTTGGTGGCTTCCTCCAGAGCCTCACCTGTAGAAGTTATAATACCCCTTCCCCAAAAGCTTGAAGCTTCCCGAGAAGTTAGGCAGGTTGATGTTCTCCAGCTTCTTCTGTAGAACAGCTATTCCCTGCTGGCAGCCTGAGGGCAGAACAGGGCGGGAGACAGTCAGAGGCGCAGCCCGTGCCTTGTCCATAGCAGGGACAGTGGGACGGAAGGGTCTGCATCAGGGGTCTGTGAAAGTTTCCAATAGAGGGCCAGATAGTAAATATCTCCAGTGTTGTGTTTCACGCTCTCTGTCACAGCTGCACCCCTGATGTCATCAAGCACAAGTAGCCCTGGATGGTATATAAGTGAATACATGTGGCCATGTTGCCATACTTTATTTACAGACAGTGGATTTGCAGTTCATGTAACTTTCATGTGTTGTGAGATATTCTTCTTTTGATTTTTTTATCCACCTAACAACATAAGAACAATTCTTAGCTCACAGCCCATACTGAAACATGCAGCAGGCCACTTTGGCCTGGGGCTTCTAGTTTCTTGAACCCTGGTCTAAAATACCATCTCCCCAAAAAGCCAGTCATGCAGGCTGGGGATTTAGCTCAGTATCTCGTGCCTGCCTCACAAGCTCAAGGCCCTGAGTTCAATCCCTGGGACCAGAAAAAAAAAAAGCCAGTCATGCATCCTATGAGTATTTGTTGCACACCTACTCCTTGCCTTGCTCTGTGCTTTGTCCCTACAGATGCCCTACCTCTCTGAATGTTTGACTCTCTCCATAGGAGCTTTGCATTGCTGTTTCCTGCTTTCCTCCATATTCACCTGGTCAGTGTCCAGGCACTTCCTTTGGGAACCTTCCTTGACCCAGTAAACAGAGAAACCCCCCTTGTTATCATTGCTGTGGACAGACGTCTCCTTTGGAGTCCCCATTACTGTTTGTAATTATGCATTTATTCATGTGACTCTGATTAATGTCTCTCTAGCTTGCTAGATGTAAGTCCCCTGAGGTTATCGGCAATGTCAGTTTTATTTATTAATGTGTCTCCTACATTCTCCTCCATGCCTGGCACTTAATATTTGTTGGATAAATAAATGAATGCCCCAAAGGCAACAATTCTCTCATGAGTTATTATGTAGCTAACAGCATCAAAGAACCAATTAACAGGCAAACACATTATCTGAGAAGGATAAAAACAGGGAGCTTGCTAGCCAGGCTTCGGGTTTTCAAAGTGATGATAACAGATTGCATCAAGCTCTTACTCTGTGCCAGGCACTATTCTAGGCTGTGCACGTCTATCAAGTTACTGACTAAACGATCCTAGGAAAGAGGTCCTGTTACTTCCCCATCTCACAGAAGGGAAAACTGAGGCTCAGAGAGACAACATGCTTTGTTCAAGACCACACAGCTGGCAAGTGGTGGAGCAGAATTGGAACACAGGTGTTCTGGTCCCAGAGCCCATGTCCTGAGTAGCACTGCATATGTGGTCACCACCCAGAGAGGGAAAAACAGATGGCCAGGATCTGTGGGTTGGCCAGAGCCAGGCCTTGTAGGTTCTCCAATGCAGTGCCAAAGGCCCAGGGTAGCTTTTGAAGGCACTGGGGAGCCACTGGATAGTGTAGGGGGATGATACCTGAACACATTTGCTACATTTCAGAAAACTCACTCTGGATGCCACATGGGGCACGAGTAGGAGGAAAAACTGAGGCAGCTATGACTGAGCACCAGGACTTCTGTGCTTAAAGCCCTCAGCTGAGCATCTGTTCCCAGGAAGCCTACAGGAGCACCCCAGCTTGGAGCTGGAACATACTCCTTCCTCCTCAGTCAGGTGGGGCCTCTGTCCACACCCCTGGATCCAGAGCTGCTCTGCCTGGGTGAGAATTCAGGAGTCAGACACCAGGTCACTCTAAGTCCTGTCCTGCTGGTCCCCACTGGTACATCAAGGGCTGAGAGCTTTGGTCTGATTTCCTGGGCCTGGGGTCCCTACAGTGCTGTACTCCATCTTTCTTCCACTGAGAGGCACCACCAAGCCATTCTGGGGTGGCAGGCAAACCTGAGCCCTAGCTCAGGCTGCCCTCTCTCACCTACCTCCCTGAGCCGCGGATTTGCTCACCTGTGACTATCGATGGTAACAATATGTCCCACCTAGCATTGCTGAGAGGATAAAGGAGACCTAGTGGGTAAAGCTGCTAGTCAGAGCCTGGCCCACGGCACAGCAGGCCAGCCAGGGCCCTTCGTGCCTTCCTGTTCTCTCTCTGGGCCTGGAGGGGCAGCCTGGGGGATCCTCACTGGGTCACCCAGGGGGTGCTGTGCACAATGTGCCTGCCAGCCCCTGCACTAAGGAGGGCCCTCCCCTCCCCTGCCTCCTCTGCCTCGAGAGGCAAATGGCAAGGCTGAGAACAGGCTTTGGAAAGAAGAGATGAGCCTAGAAGCCTGAGTTTGGGGGTGGGTAGAGGGAGGGGAACATGAGGACCCTCATGGGCCTGGACACTGGACTTAGAGTCCTCTAGACCAGTGCTCCAGTCCCAGCTCTGCCCCTTCACAGCTCTGTGACCTTGGGCAACTCACTTTGCCTCAATTTCCTTGTGTGTAAAATGGGAGCAAGGGAGCCTACTTTACAGAGCTGTGAACATACCAGGCACTGGATTTAAAGGGCTACACACAGGACGTGCTCAATGTGTGCTTTTCAAGAATGGGAGAGGAGGGAAGGAAGGCACCCAATTACCGTAGTCCAGACCCTCCTGGGAGATCGTCACCACGAAGCCAGGGTTGGTGGCCACTGTCAGGGCTGTGCCCAAGGTGGCCAGCACCATCAGGGTTGCCCATTTTGCTGTGTTGTCCAGAGCTCTGGCCATGCCCTCCTGTGTTGTCCAAGCTGCCAAAACCTGCAGGCCTTGGAGGAAAGCCAGAGACCTATGAAGGAGCCAGCTGGGGAAATGCACGTGGGAAAGTGTAGAAAGGCAGAAGGAACCTGGTGTGGGGCAGAGAGTGGAAGCAGCTGCAGTTCCCCAGGGAGAATGTGCTACAGCTCTGGAGGCAGCCCCAAGGTGTCCCTGGGAGCCTTGCAGGCTTGTGTGCATGTGCTGTGTGTGCGTGCACTAGGTGTGTGTGTATGTGAGTGTAGGTTGGAGCCTCTGGCTCTGGCCTGTTTCCTCTTCCTAAGCATCCCATCCTCAATACTTCCATTTAAGGACTTTTTCCCCAGCATTGAGAACTGAACCTAGAATCTTCACACTGAACTACAATCCCAGGCCTTTAAAAAAAAAAGAAAAAAAAACCCTGTATTTTGAGATAGGGACTAAATTGCTCAGGCTGGGTTCAACTTGTGGTTCTACTGCCTCGGAGGCCTCTCGGAGTGCTGGGATTACAGCAGGCACCATCTCATCCAACTGACTTCTTAAAGTGGGCTGGTAGGTACAGGAGGGTTTATTATAGCTATCGATTTTAGATTTCTTTGGTATTTTCCATTGTCAAACATTTAAGAAAACAGAACCTGCAGCATTTTCTTGACCCAGAGGGCAGTGGAAGTAATGATTAAGTGCTCCAGTTTTGGAGTCTAGTTTCTTGGCTTTGACCCTCAGTTTCCTTCTCTGTAGAGTGGGGACAATAATAGCACTTTTCCTCACTGGGTTACTATCAAGACAGAATGAGGTTTAAATCAGGTCAAGCAGTGAGCGCAATGTCCCTCTAGATGAAACTATTAATGTTACTGACTTCAAAAGTTACTCATGATCCTTGGCCGAATTTTAAGAAAGATCAAGAGAATAAAAAGTACTGTACAAGGAATCCCTTCCTCAAGAAACAAGCAGATGGGCTGGGGATTTAGCTCAGTGGTTTTACCGCCTGCTGCGCAAGCACAAGGACCCGAGTTTGATCCCCAGTATCAAAAAAAAAGAAACAAGCAGAAGCATATTTTATAGTATTTCTTCTCTCCTCTTCCCTTTTATCTATTATTATTATTATTATTATTATTATATTGGCAAGCATATCTAGATAGTCCTCTTTGCTTTTCTAACAAAAACAGGGTCACAGGCCAGGGATTTAGCTCAGTGGTTCCGCCACCTGCCTTGAAAGCACAAGGACCCAAGTTCGATCCCCAGTACCAAAAAAAAAAAAAAACGGTCACACTGGCCAGTTTGGCAAAGTTCCCTTTTATCAATAAACAACCGGTGAACTTTCTCCCTGGCATTAAATGTTTTATTGCTTCTTTATGTCACTGTTTTCTCAACTAAGCTTCTGTTTTCATACATTTCCTCCTCTTTTAACCTGAGGCTCCAGGAAGGAAAGAGCTCTTCCCACAGGCACTCAGCAGGTTGGCAGAGCTCGGATTCAACATCAGCCCGAGTGTTCCCAAGCCATGGAGATTGTAGAGACCGAGGCAGACACCGCACCCCCACCCCAGCTTTGCAGACTGGAAGGTAGGGGTCTGCTCTGACCCCACCCATTTCTGGAGCCTCAGGGTCTGGGTGAGTAGGAACCTTTAGGGCAGCCTCTCGGTTTCCATGGTGATGAGAGGGAGGCCCCGCAGGGAGGAAGTGGCCAGCTTCTCTCCCACTGAGTCCCCATCAAACCCCTGGTGCTCTGTATCCCCTACTCTGATTTTATGAAAATCTGCTGAAGCCTGCTGAGCCCAAGGACATGAGACCTTCTAAGCTGTTTTTTCCTTTTTCTCTTCACATAGTTCTAAAAAGTTCTCCTCCCTGTTCCTGTCTTCCACAACTGGAATCCTATGGCTTGCTAAACATGAAAACAGTGCCATATACCCAGTGTATGCCAGATGCTTTACCTGCATTATCTCCAAGATTATAGACAACCCACAAGGGAGGGATGATTATCCCTCTTTGGGAGATGAGGAAACTGAGTCACAGAGTGATTTAGGCACTGTCACAGTTACTGCCATTCAGGAAGAGAAGACTTTTCCCCTATCCTGGGGGGCTTGCCAGGAGGACTTGTCACCCTGTCCTCACAACAGCTCTACTGTTCTTCAAACAACGTGGGTCCTACAGTCCCACACTGATTCTGGACAGGGAAGTTAGCTCTAACACACCAAGGGCCATGGCTTGTCAAAATTAAATTTTTGAAATCTAATCTTGTAACCAGCACTGTGTAATGGAACTTTAAAGGTTAGATTTTTTTTTTCTTTTAGAGATGAGAAACTTCTCCAAACTTCCTCCTGCTGAGCACATAAGCAACACCCCTCCTCTCCTCAGCCCCAAGAAATGACAGAATGTGCAGATGCTAGCCCAGGAGGCCAGAGAGCCTGGTTTCCTTTCTACAATGGAGGAGGATGAGCTGAGGATGGCTAGACTTGACCCAGCAAGTGTGGAGATCTACATTATCTCTCTGTGCCCCTCCCTTCTGTTCCTTACTATAAAAGGCCCTTTCCTACCTGTACACAGTGAGAGGATGATTTGAGGCAAATAGGCCCCTCTGCCTCCTTGGAGCTAGCTTTGAATAAATCCTTTTTCCTTTTTGCCAAAATAAATAGCCTCCTTTGATTTGGTCAGCAGTGAGCAAATAACTGAACCTGAGTGGCAGGTAACAGTCCCATATACTTTTGAACACCTCCAGTTCTTAGGCGCCTGAAGCACCTGAGGCCCCAGCACCAAGCAGATATGGCATCTGTGAGGGTGTCAGTTAAGGAACATTAAAATGAAATCGCACAGTCATGACTTCCGTGGCTATAAAAGTACAACCTGAAAACCTGCCGGCAAGTTTCTGAACAAGCTGCCCCCCACCTCAGTTAACCCCTGACAGCTCATGCCCAGCCAAACCTACCCAAGTGGAACTAGGACAGAGGAAACAAAGACAGGTAAACAGTTTCACCAGATAGGTTCCAGGAGGGTTTCCACTGAGATAAGGAACCTAAACCCACCCTACCTGGAGAATAAGTGCAGGTCTGCTGATTCCTGTTGTTGTCGTGTGTTGTGGGCTCTGGGCACAGGTTCCCAGGTTCTTATATGCAATGCACAATCACAGGTTTTTGTATGTGACAAAGAATAGGATGTGGCACATGCCAGCAAGTAAATAGCAGCAAAGTTTACTAAAGCGGCTTGCACCTGTGAAAAGAAAATAGTACTGAATGCCAAGGGTGTGGAGTATAGGGGTGTAAATGTCAGGAACTTCCTGTTATGGCTTGTGTCTAGATGTCCCCCCAAAGCCTCATTCCATCTTAAGTGGGGTCTTTTCAGAGGCAGCTGGATCTAGAGTGTGTGATGCTGGGATTAAGGGTGTGTGATTACTAAATCAGTCCACTGATTGGTTTGGCATAGTTCTGGGTGGGATTAAGGGTGTCCCATCCTGGGTGTGAGTGCTAGTCACCCTAAGGTAGGGACTGAAAGAAGGTTAGTGTGGTGGACTAATGGTCAACTTGTAATGCCCAGCTGAACTGAATCAGCATGGTTCTGGGCATGGAGGATCCACCTGAGGATTGTTGCCAATGGCATAAAAAGAGAACTAGAGGGAAAGATCATTGGCTGTTGATTTTCTTGGAGAAGCTTGTCATGGCTAGTTTTCCTGATGTGAACTTGGCTGTTTTGGTCATTGGAGGAGCTCGAGTCCTAGGTGTCGCTGGGAACAGCTGGTGTTCTCATCAAAGGATCTCTGATCTTCGCCACCAGTGTCACTTCTGGCTCCAGTACAGATCCCTCAGGACTGTGGCACAAATCCTTCACCCCACCAGCGCAGGTTTTTTATCTTCCACCACTGGCCTTTGGTCCTTCCTAGTGCAGATTCTTGATATGGACTTGCATGAGACATTACTATGGGCTCTAGACCTCTGGGCTGGACTCACAGAGGATTGCCTTGGGCTCTAGGCCTTTAGCTGGACTTGTGTGGGACATTGCTGTGGCATCCAGGTCTGCAGCTCAATTCTTTGGGTCTTTAGTGTGTGGACAGATTTCTTGCACTCCTCTGCATTTGAATTTTGGGTGAAAATTTTAAAATAATCCTATAAATTGTGTTCTATATTAAATCTATTCCCTTGCAAAACCTGACTACAATGGCTAGTGTGGTCACTAGTTGCTGGTAGCTTGCTGCCTTCTGCCCATCATGAACTGTTTCTTCTCTGTGCCTTGGAGCCAGCCCTGCCAACCTACCTTGCTACCCTGCCTTGGAGCCAGCCAACTATGAACTGAAACCTTTACAAACTGTGAGCTGAATAAACCTTTCCTCCTTTGACTTTGAGTGTTGGGTATTTTGTCTCAACAGAGAGAAAATAAGACACTTCCCATCCAGGGGTCCTTCAAAGCATTATTGACAGCATGATTGACAGGGTGCTATTGTACATGTCCTTTCTATAATTCACTCTGTTATAATTGCATGTATAAGATACAGTCCACACAAATAAACTTTCAATGAGTTCCAGGGGAAGAAAGTTTACTCTAGGGCACACAGGGAGGTCTGGTGTACCTGTCTTAGTTTCAAATTTTCAGAATATTCCTTGGAGGGCTCTGGGTGTTTGTTTCCCTTCTGGGCCAGGGTTGAGAATTGGCCTGGGGCATTGCCCAGGTTTGAGTGAGTGAAAGGGAGTGGTCCTGTAGACCCAACTATGCTGCCTATATTACTGTCTCAGAAAAAGAATTTTCAGGACATGGCAGTAAGAGGCATAAAGGGATTTATTAGGCAGAAATGTAAAAGAAATAAAGTGCAAGTTCTTGAGAGAGAGGTGCTTATTTCCTGGAACTGGGAACATTTATATCTCTCTTGAGGGAATGGAAACCCCAGGAAAGTGAACCATGCCCCAGAATGGTACTGGCCCATTTTATAGGTATTGAGGCAGGAAATTAGGGCATGGGTAAATGGCTGGACATGACCTGTCAATCACATAGATCCAGGATACTGGGTCCAATCAGAGGATGCTATCTTCAATTCTTATGGTATGAAATCAAGTAAGTTTTTGATAGGACAGCCTAGACATGACATAAGAATAGCAGATACAAAAGAAGGCATCCATTAACTGCATGGCTACTGTGACCTCTTTCAGTGGCCAGCTCTCATTCTGCAGAGTGTACTTCTTTTCCTACCTCTAATAAGTGTAAAACCTTGTTACCTTTTGTGCATGTCTTGACTAATTCTATGTTCAGGACAACAAGAACCTGGAGAGAATCTTTAGAGTCCACAGCACCCCAGAATCCCACTAACAGTGTGAAGCTAGTTTTCCCCCCACTAAGATGGATAATTTAAGCATTCTTTGAATTCTCTCAACCTATTCCTTTATCTTAGGATCAGGTGTCTGCTCTTTACTTTTTACAACTTAAGTCAATTTGTGGGTTTATATTATTCCTGAGGAATTTTGGGTGTGATGGTTCTGGAAGGAAAAGGAGCCTAAATTAATCAAGGGAATGCAGATATGAATTGCCTTGAGTAATTTTGACTGGGTCCTGGAAGTTGTATAAGTTTAGTTATGATTTTCCTTATCCTCTATCTTTATTTCTTCATCCTACTTCAGAAGGGAGACAAGAAAATAATAATTTTTAAATTGCACTTTAAAAAAGCCCCTGCAGCTTCAGGACACAAAAGTTACACAATGCTTTGTTTCCTTCCAGGAAACTAAAAAAAAAAAAAAAAATCCTAAGGGTCTTAAAGATAGAGTAATCCTGTAAATTGGGCCTGTGCTTTTCACCTGTGAATTGCTCCTCCTTGTAAGACCTGCATCCTCAAGGTTGCAGCACTATTTTTTTTTTTTGGTACCAGGGATCGAACTTGGGTCCTTGACTGTTTTTTTTTTTGATACCGGGGACAAACTAAGGACCTTGTTCTTGCGAGGCAGGCACAGCACCACTGAGCTAAATCCCTGGCTGGCTTGCTTGCTTGCTTGCTTGCTTGCTTGCTTGCTTTTCTTTCTTTTTCTTTCTTTCTTTTCTTTCTTTTTAAAAGTAGCAATATTAGTGGGCAGCAGATCTCTAAACTTCAAACACATGCAGATGGTTTGCATTTGAATGTAACCCACCAAATTGGGAGCATAGACACTTTCTAGGTCACCCATCTTGAAGATGCCCCCCAAGACCACAAAATCTCCAACCCCAGAATATAATATGCCTCTCTTCTGAGTGTGTACTTCTTTGTTTCTGCTTAATAAATGTTTCAGATGCCTCTCACTGCAGGCATCCTGCAATATTCTTCTGTGATGTAAGTCAGTAAACCTACAACTTACCCCATGGATGGGGTGAGTTAAGTCTCCATCTCTACTTTGCCTCAGTTTCCTCCTTCTCCCACCCAGGACTCGACTCCTCTGGGTGTTTGACTTCCAGGGTGTGTTGTCACCCTACTGTGTGGGAGAATCGTGGCTATTTTACCAGTGTTTTTTTAAAGGCCACATTGCAGCTCAGTGATGAGTCTGTAGTAGATCATTAACTTTCCACCCTGTGAGCTCTGCACAAGAACTACACATACATCACTGAACATCTAACTGCTTATCATATCTGAAAAAGTATAATTTCTTTCCCTATCCCAATATCACATCAAAAGTCCCTTTCAAGTACATTTATATTTCATTCTGATCCCCTTGGCCACTAACCGTAGTTAATCTTTACATGTTTGCTAATTCTATCCGAAAGGACTGTTTCTAGTGGCACCAAAGGAACTAGGTCTGAACAAAACAAACATTATTAAGTCTTTAAATACAACCTATCTATCCTCAGAACTGAGATGGATGGGACAATGGAACCATTGTGACCCGACTGGACACCCCCCCCCCCGCCCCGGCAGTTAAAATCAAATATAAATATCTCAGCCTTTCACCATGATGGTATCATCCTCTTTTGGACTTGTCCACTTCTCTCTTGCAATGAATGTGTTAACAAGCTTTTCTGTACTTCTTGATTATTGGTTAACTCTTTACCACCTGGGACACCAGCCTCCCACACACCAGGCCTCACATGGCATTCTGATCCTAGATTGGGGGTGCAAGTGTGGGAGGGGCCCCTGGCGATTCTGAGAGCAAAGGGAGGAAAGGATTAGGCTCCTGTAGACAGCTGGCCTTGCAGTGCAGGTCTTAAAAGATGACCAGACACCTTGGACTCCAGCGACAAACTCTCAAGAGGAGACTATCTTGCTTTGCCAAGAAAGACTCTCCTCTCCAGATTCCAGTCCCTAAAAGGGCCCCTTTGGATCACCTGGTCCTGGAGGATGCCAGTCTCCTAAAGGAGAAGGTGGGGACAGAGAGTTCTCATCATCAGCATGATCATATTGCTGTATGGAGTGGCATAAAGGACATATTCCATAGCCAAGAGTTAAAAGAGAAGTCAGAGCCCAGAGCATGAGCTCCAGGCCATGAGCACCTGCAGACCAGGCCTGGCTACTTCCCTAGGCCTCCAGGAAGTAGTGGGACTTGAGCCAGCTTCTCTGTGCTGATGGGAGGAGGTGGCTCTTGAGATAGCAGGTAGGAGCCGCCTATGGAAGCTGGTGCTGGGGAGGGGGCTGGAGGCAGAGGGAAGAAAACCAGCCAAGCAGTGGTCTCAGAAGACTGTGTGTGTGTGTGTGTGTGTGTGTGTGTGTGTGTGTGTGTGTGCCGGCTCCCACTTGTTATTCTCAGGAAACTGCAACATGTGACTGTGTCACAGTTCTGGCTCTCCTGGCAGGCCTGGCCTCTTCTAGGCCCTGGAGAACACAGGAAGAAAGAAACAGACAGTTAGTTGCCAAGTGTCCCAGGGTCTCTGCCACAGGGAGTTATCACACTCAGTCACATTAGGAAGTAGATGTGTGCTCAGCAGAGGTCCCAAAGCTGAGGATCTGTCCCAAAATGAACCCACAGGGCAGAGAGAGCCGCCCTGCTTGGCTCTGTCCTTGGTGATAGAGCACAGGGCTGGGGCCTGGGGGCTGGGGTGGGCTGAGGTCAGGGGGTCATCAGTGAGGATCAGGGCCTGGGGCCAAGCCCTGGTCGCACTCTCCTTGGTTTCAAGCACTTGGCTAATCTCTGCTCTTCTCGGGGGTTCAGGTCCCCAGTGCATAAGAACAGCCACCATCTTTGAATCCATACCAGAAACCAAGCCAAGCCCTTGGTCAACCTTCTTCTTTAGTTCTC